GGATTGACAGCCGCTGACCACGTGATGTGAACCGAAGGTCAGACGGTATGGTTCTTTAGGCTTTTCAGCTACGACCCATTTATGGACAGAAGTGAATTGACTAGCAAGACCCCACTGATGAGGTCTTGGTGGCTCAGAGGTACTGCATCGCACTAATTAATCCAAGGCTTTTGAGACTCGCACCTTGTAGGAGGAGGGAGGTGGGTGGGGGACTGGGTTTTCCCCCGTGTCCCCCTTTCGTAAGATAAGGCAGTTTCCAGACATCTTCACTTACCTTAAATTTAGGGCTCTAATCTCAATGATTGTAGCAAGCCAATTTAGTAACCATGGATACGTGATTATGCTAAGGCCTTTGCCAAAATCGTGTGACCTAGGAAATGTGAATTTCCTAGAAAGAAACATTAAAGTTAGTGTAGATTTAACGTGACACTAAAATAAAAGCGTGATTTGTTAATAAGTTAGTTCTGCTGAAATAGTTTAAGTAATTAGGTTACTACTCGAATTGCCGAGTATTCGATCTTCATCGAACTCAATATCTTCCTCCTTTTCACTGGATGGACGGAATAGTCTTCCACGTTCACGCAATAAAGAACGTAAAAGCTATGCCTTCAAGTGCATGGTAGACTACATAACTCAATTTATGGTTGATTGATTCTCGAGGGGGGAGGGGGAGGGCTGGGGGTTATTGCATTGACCTTTTCCTTCATAATAACCACTTTTGTTAAACAATATCATGTTCCTTATACATATTTAAGTTCTGAAGCGAGAAGTGACAAGAATTATGAAAATTCTCTGTGTTTACATTGTAAGAAATGAATGACAATGACAGAGACGAAATCATAAATTGTCAGTATAAAATGAAAATGGGTCAGATATGTGTATACAACTGACTACTGAAACTAAGCCTATTTCTCTGCATAAGAAACACTAATTTGAGCAAGTCCTCTAACTTTCTCGTTTCTCTTATAGATAATTGCTGCGAGCGAGCAACAACACTAACGGGCTTTCTGTGGCGCCTAGGTCTTGGCAAGAGTTTACGGCCAGTTCTGATTTCGATTTCTGGTCGGGTTACCGAATTATGCTTGTTCCTGTGAATACTTCTACAATACTTTGGTCAGCTATTTGTAAATGCGCTGAACTTTGTGGATTTACGGCTAAAAGCTCAAGAGGAGTGATTCAATATTTTATTTTAGCTTTTAGCCGTCAATCCACAAAGTTTAGCGCATTTACAAATAACTTTCATTTCACACCCAATTAATGAATGAATTATGTGCTCATTAGTATTGACCACCATTTGAAAGCATAGCTATTAAGTACCTCTTTGTGTAAACGTATTGGACTATTCCGTTAATTCAGGGTAAAGGAGAATGATAATACGTGTACATGTTTTCCTCTAATGAGGAACTTAAAAGATATGCTTTTAAGTGGTGGTCAATATGAGAATCGCTGGCTAGGGCTTATTTCTTGCGATAAAAAGTAAACCTTAGGTACTTCGCAATAAGCTTATAACTAATTTCTCCTTAAGTTGTTTAGCTCAGAGACAATTGTTGACTTACCATGTGTTTTGCCGTCAAGGACCAAACATACGTGACATCCGTGATAGTCTTTGTCTTTGTGTCTTATCTCGTTCTGCTTTGCTTTCCTAGAAGAGCTTTTTCCGCGACACGAAACGTTCCACCGGCTCACTGAGTGTGACAGCATAATTTTGCTTCAGTAGTTGTTTCTTAGTTCTCGGTCCGTGAAAACTCCGCTTATTTTAAGGACGATTTTTTTTCACTTGCACGTCCGCCCTACCCATGCAGCGTGATGTTCTAAAATTGCCTTGATTTTTATTCCTTGACTCAAGAAAAGTAATTTCAGAGACTGACTAACGTTCCATAATATATTAGCTCTCTAATAATTAGATGTAAAACTGACCCCAATCACCAGTAACAGAAGCGTTCTTTTTCTTTAAATGTTGTATGGCGGCGTGATGAAGTCGCTCGTAAGCTTAGCTTTGTTAGCAGTAGTTATTCTTTGTTGTGTCCACAGTGGAGTTGCTGGTAAAGACTGAGGAAAATGTTTGAATAAAAGAGAAACTAGATCCTCACGAGATATTTGTGATGGTAGCAGGTCGATGTTGATTGCGTACAGTAAACTGGGAAGAACTGCTAGGGGGAAAGAGAAATTTCAGTCACTTGCCTTCATTTCTGTCCTATGTCTTCGCGTTTAAAACATTAAGGATACTTCGAAATAATAAAAGGAACAATATGTAACCTTTCTCCAAAATCCCTCAAAGCTTGAAAGCCCCCCAAAGCTTTAATTTCCTTAAAAAGATAAATTCAATCAGCGAGGAGTAATAGATAGTAACCTATATTTTTTAAGGATGGAGAAATAGATGAATATAGGAAACAGATCAAGAGTAGTAAATAAAGAAATGAAAATAACAGATTAGACGCTACTCAAGTAAAATAACGGTGGGGTTGTGGCGGGAAAGCGGGAAATAGTGTATCCCACATCCAGCAGAAGGGGAAAAGAGTCGTAAACGAAGGACAGTAAAATAAACTATATAGAGCTCCAATTTTAGGTTTCATTCAATCTATATAAAAATTATCTATCAATCAACAACGTTGAGTCGCGCTGTATATAAGGTGACTTTAACTGAAAGCTCGATCAAATTAAACTTTCTTCTTTTTCTTCTCTCAGGGAACATGAACAACTCGCAGCGCGCGCAAATAAGACGTAGACTGTCTGTCGCGTCATCTTTTAACGAACTAAGCGCATTGAACGAAACCGTTGTGTTTTGGAGTTTCCGCGTCCAGCGCCACGTTAAAGATGTAGTGCTTAGATATTTATCACGTTTCCTACGGGAAAATGTCCTCAGCTAAAGACGATAAAGTTCAAGTTACTTTCAGAGGAGTTTCCCTCGCCAATGAGGATTTTAATTTTGTACCACAACCTTACTTTGCCGTAAATCCTCGCACGACTTCTTATCGTTTGTGGGAAGCTGTTAGCGCGATTTGCATTTTCTTGACTTGTCTGTTAGTCCCTTATCAAGCAAGCTTCGAATCTCGAGATGCAACTCTTTGGGTTTTCGTTTATATCTTTGATGTGCTGTTTCTCGCCGATGTGTTGCTTAAATTTCGGGTTGGATACTTCAACAAAGGAACTCTTGTCACAGACAAATCATTGGTTAGTCGACGTTATCTTCGGACCAAATTCGTACCGGACTTACTGACGCTAATTCCCTTGGATCTGCTCGTGTTTGGAGTTCAGACACATCTTGAATGGCATCAGTTGCTGACTTTGGTGAGGCTCAACCGGATGTTAAGGGTTTACAGTCTGGCGTCGTTTTTTGGTAGGTCTTTTCGTATTTTACCAAAATGATGATTGATGGACTGTAAATTTTTGAATCTGGTTGTTTCACAAACGAATAATTTCTCTCAAACACTGTGGTGGCTAAAACCTAAGACAAATTTATATCAGCATGATCAGTGTTACAATTTCAGTTGCATTTATGAAATGTCGCGTGTTTCAGTCCTAAATATTTCAAAAGAGCGAGTTAGAACAGACCGATGTTGTTGAACACGACGAATTTCTCCAGGTTACTATAAACAACCAAAATATCCAAATTAGAAAAATGATTTATTGGACATCCATAGTGTAGCTGGTAAAAGAAAATTTTTTTTGTTTATGTGGCGAATGCGCACACCCCATTCGACGACTTTCGGCTCTAAGGTCGGTCGCCTCCAGCCCCTTCACCTATAGAATACTTAGTTTATCTCAAATTCACGCATAACTTTTACTAATGAGATCAACTTCCTCACCCTTTTTACTTATTAGTTTAATTTTTTTTTTCTACAATTTTAGGGGCAAGAGAAAATGAGTTGGGAACAAACACTGCACTGATCCGGGCATTGAAATATGCTGCCATTGGTACGATTACGATCCACGTGATGTCCTGCGTGTGGTATTCACTGGCCTGCGCCAATGAGGGAGCAGCTGTTGAAGGTCAAATCAGAAAAGTTACGTCATGTGACCCTGACAGCTGGGCAATAAAACTTAACACAGGCAAGACATCAAATTTGAGTATAATAAAACTCCGCTTATAAGAAACTAAAATTTAAGAACTCGCTGGGCTAAAATTTTCCAGTGAAGCACCCCTCCTTGAAAAAACTGAGCCTAGGGCTAAGATCTCAAAACAAGTTCTTATTTGTAGAATGTAGAGTTTTTTCAAATTTGATGCAATACATCCCATGCAATACAAATAGGTAACAAAAATTAGTCAGAACACCGTTAGTGCCGTAAGAACACAATACTGTACTGTCAATACATCCATAGCTGTGCAACATATCCGACTGTGTGTACAAGTTAACCACGTAAAGCATGGCACTCCGAGGCTGGTATACAGCACAATATCATACCCTCACTCACCAATACAATTTTTTTTTCCACAAAAATTAAGAACGTGATTAAGAACATAAGTAGCCTAATTTCTTAGTAATCGTCATTTACATAAGAAGCTATAAAGGCTAACTTGAACAAACCGTGGTTCTTATACGCGGATTTTTATTGTATAAGGGCTTTATCAAAGCTTTTGTTTGGTACATTAGTTAAAAGACTCTATAAATTACTCTCTTATTATGGGTTAGCAATAGCTAAACTTGTGCAAAAAGAACTAGAAACAAAAGAACCGTAAAACTGTTCAATAAATGTTCGGGCGACGCTAGAATCATAATCCAGCAAAATTGATATCAAGCTAATGAAGAGATAACAAGCTTTTAATCATCTCTTCAATCTCCTTTAACCCAAGAGCCTCACTCACAAGTGAGAATGCTAAGACGCAAAAGTTGTTGACGACGACATAATTGATGATCCTAACGATCTTAGTAAAATTTTGTTTCAGGAATTGGATTCGTAAACGTTGGGAAGAGATATGTCCTGTCTCTTTACTGGGCTACTGCAACTGCTACTTCCACGGGGTGAGTACATGACATAAAAAGCTCCCAAATATCTTTAACCTCCAAGTCTCCTTCGCAGCCCTTCTTCAAAATATCAAGCTCTATTTTTTTAGGGGGGGGAGGGGTTAAGTGCTTAATTCTCTAAGAAAGTTTTGAAAACTAAACTGTTTGTGTATTGGAACATCAAAGCTGTAAAAAAGGAATTAGCATGGTTTCAAAGAATACTCTCGCCCAGTATTCCCTTAAAAGGGCGTTTTTTTTTCTCAGAGGCGTTTCTAGGCTCTTGTTACGATTTGTAGATTCCGAATCAACCATTCTATATACCAAGACTTTCGTCAGCGATCCTATTGGGTACCAAGACTTTCTCTCTACAAGGTTATTCAGGAGGCGGTCAGAATAGTGCTGAACTAGCCAAGAGCAAGAAAAAAATGAACAAAGCAATGCATATAAACGTTGCCTGTTAAGTTCAAGCTGGATTGTAGTAACTTGTATTTTGGACTGTTAAATATTATTTTTCCTCGCGAGCATAAATGACATTTAACCTTTTCAGTTACGGAGATCTGCACGCCGCAACCATAGGCGAGAAATGGTTTTCCATATTTGCTATGCTTACTGGAATTGGATTATTCTTTGGATTTATTTTGGGTGGAATGGCTTCCATGTTAACTAACCTGGATTCACGGCGAATGAGATACACACATCACTTTGAAGTCATCAAAGATCACATGGTATGCTATGGCCTCCCTTGTGGTTTGTTAGTCAAGTCTACGTCGGCATACTAGATGCTTCTAGGTCTGATCGATTACGAGTCTTTTTTTTTTCTTTCTCGTTTTCTTTTTTTCCTATAACTGAGTTGCATTCCTTTCTAAAGCTGAGTAAGAGACAGATTTACCCCACGCGATCAAGATGCGCAATGCGTGATTGTAGCTATTCTGCCCGGTTTAGATAATTATTATTTATTTTCGACATCCAGAAAGGCTGGCTCAGTTCAGCCCTAAAGCTGGTTTAAATGGGAGCCCGTATAAACAGACCACAACACCGGGACCCACGTCCCCTACCCTTTACGAGAAGCGCATGGGTTCTTTAACGCGCGGAGAAGATGTGAGGAAGTGAGCCTGAGGCTTATCGTCCTTATCCGAGGAGAACAGAATGTCTACCCATTTGCGGATGTCGTAGCATAGGCAGCACATTCTCCTTTAGGCTATGCCGATGGGAAAAAAGGAAGGCTTGAAGCTCAGCTGCAAGCTGTTATAATAACTAGTGATCATTGTAAACGCTTAACGTATCTGTCTATCGTTTCTTTTTTATACAGAGAGACATGAAGATTTCGTCTGACATACGGTCTAGAGTTCTTGCCTACTACGCGTATCTGGTAAATTGACCTTTCCTTAATAAAATGCTTAATAAATACTGTTTCTGTCTTAATACAATGACTATAATTGAAATAGTACTTAAATACAATCTTAATGAAATAGTACTTATTTCGATAACTTGTTTCAGTGGACACATAATAGAGGCGAAAATGGAGACGGAATGTTTAGTGACCTACCGCTGACCTTCCAAGCTGAGTTGTCTCTTAGTATCAACAAAAAGGTTTTGGAGAAGGTATGCCATAAATTTTAGGTACGTCGAGCAGCAGAATTTAAAAAAAGATAGTTTTGATACGGTATTCCATAAATGTTTACTCAAGGAGAGTCAGAATTTGAAACAAGCCGAGAAAATTGACGAAAACAGTGTGATTTTCTTTTTGCATTGCAGGCTCCACTGTTTAGAGGTCTCAACCCTGGATTTCGGCGCATGCTCTCACTGGTGATACGACCAGTATTTTACATGCCAAACCAAATCATAGCCAACAAAGGAGACATTGGACATCATATGTTTTACATACACCGAGGCCGGGCAGAAGTGAGCTCATTTTGTTAAACATATCATCAGAAACACGGAATTGCCATTTTTATAGTTATCCCAGTGTTTCTCCGTGCCGGTTCTTGTTGTAGACATTTCCAGACATTTGATCATTAGCTCAGCTATAAATGAATTCATTCGATTCACAACCACTCGGCAAAAAGATATATCCTTCAACGTCTCATTTTTCTTCTTTCCTCAAGGACAACTTTCTCGAAATTTGAAGACAGCCTTACTATCCAACTATCATTTTCACACAGAAACTATTATTCCACGTCTTTGGTATGTTTCAAATATGAAACAGGAAACTAAGAAAGTTTCCTATTGATCATTCAACAAATGGTGTACGTCATTAGTAACTGAGTCATTCAATCACTTTGAAGCTGAACTAGGTGAAACTATCAATTCGTAACACGATAATTAAGGACTTGGAAGGTTATCTCTCATAAGTTTTCTTTTTTAATATCAGATTCTTTGTGAAAACGAAAATGAAGTTCTGGTGACTCTTAAGGAGGGAAAGCTTTTTGGTGAAGTACGTAAATACAATTTTGTTTTTTTAGACCAAGCTTTTTTGTCCCTTGGATATAGATTAAGTTCTTATAATGACAAAAACCCAAGTGTATTTTTGTCTGCCTGGATTTAATTGTCTTTGGTTTGTTTATATTTTTGCTGTTTTTTTTATGCGACCCAATTTAAGTGCACGTGTCTTTTTTTCAGTTGCTGGGATTTATTTGTGTTAAGTCAACTTTTCGCTTTGTTTGTTTGTTTCGTCTTTTTAAAAATCAAACCGAAATCTTCCTTTACATATTTATTATTTTCTTGTTTTTTTTGTTTGTTTGTTCATTTGCTGTTGTTTTTTTGGGTATAACTCCTAGAGGTGAAATAATAAAGTGTTAGGCACATTTGTTCGTTGTTTCATCTTTGGGAAATATACTTATAGGGAAAAAAAACATTCTGTTGATTTTTTTTTATTTACACAATTTATTTACGCAGTTTATAGTTTTTTTCATTTGACATTAACGTGAAGTCAAAAATATTTTACAAACAGTCGTTTTTATTATTATTTATTTTTCCTTTCCATCTGCATCACTTTCTGGTGAAATATGTTATGCCACATGTATATGGAATTATAAAAAGACTAAATGACTGTTGATAGAATTTAAAAAAAAAACAGTGTTTTGAGTTCTGTCGTATAATTTCTTGATGACATTTTATTTGTTTCTTTCCACAGGTGAGTATGGTGTACAATCTCCCGAGGGCTACCTCAGTTCGTGCCGCTTCTCCGTGTGTAGTCCTCCTTCTTGACAGAGTTGATCTCAACAGAGTGCTTAGACATTATCCCGCCGGTACGTTTTTACCAAAACCCATCAACAAATCTTTTTAATAATTATTGTTGATTCACTTGTGCTTATATTTGTGTGAAGCAACCAAACAGTACTTTTATGTGGAATGCGATAACAGAATAGTATTTCAATTTTTGCGCTAGAATCCAGTTGGAAATATCCGGGTCCTAGTTCTGATCAAGTCAGAACACTCCTTTTAGACAAGACTCTCACTGTGGTTCTCTCTATTCTGTAGTATAAGATGATACAAGTAAATTTTCAGGAAAATCTTATAAAATGCTATCAGATGAACCACGGGAAAGTTCATGTAGGATGAGGTCACTCAGATACTGTTCAATCAATGAAACTCTTCCTTTCTCGCGTTGCATTCAGTTGGACCAATCAGAGGTGTTGCTCGACCTGATTGAGTTCGCAATGTGAAAAGAATTTGTAGAATTAGTTAAGCGCCCAATCCTTCTAGTTCTGCAGGGGGCGTTAGGATGGATGGGCAGGGTTTGACCAGTGATGGGTTAGGATCCCATTTGTACCCCAGCTCAAATTCCACGAAATATTCTCCAGTGGCATGGATCACTAAAAATACGTGGGGCTTTCATTTCTGAATTGGTTTTACTATTTTAGTGGCGGAGCAATTGTATTTGACCCTCGAACATCGATGTGATCTGAACAATATTGGAACACTGGGCATGGAGGCAGGAAGCAACAAAGACGAATTTTTGGAAATGGAAAACGAAAAAGCTGAGGCCTGGCTACGGCAAATGGCGGTAAGTACAGTGGTAGGAAGGGGCAGATGTAACCACGCGATTGTATGTCGGCAATGACACAATCGCGTCTGTTTACTGCGTAATACGCAGAATGAAAAGCTTTGTCAGTTGACTTGAAGCATCACCAGAGGACTCAGGCGGATTTTTGTCGCTTTTAAGGGCTCAGAATGATCCTGAAATGATCAACCCCTTGTTTAAACATTACACGCGATATATGAGTTATCACAATGCCCTTAAATGAGACCAAATACCAAAATCTAAGAGCAAAATAACTTGTGAAGTGGATAATTTGTGGGAGAGGGATTTTGCAAAGAGTCCAGTTTCTCACTTAATAAGGAAACATTTTCAATTGACCTTCGAACGTAATCCTAAATTTTTCTGGTTTTTCTATACCTTAAGGTATGATTGGTCCGAAAAGCTGGCCCCACTTTCTCGACCAATTATACTTAAAACTATAGCGAATCTCGTCTTGATTTCTCGAGTTTCCCGGGCTTGAAACAATTTGCCTGTTCTGTTTGCTTTGACATTGGTTTTCGATACTCGATCGAAAAGCACTTCAATCCTATGTTGGTTTCGTCCAATCACGAATGTATTTTCTTTCGTTCATAGGACTTTAAAGAGGATACATCCAGTAAAGAAAGGTACCATGCCAAATGATTACAAACTTTGCCGTTACTCATATATAGTCCGGGGTTGAGGGAACACTGAAAGATGAAATTGTCTTGCCCGAGAGGAAAAATCAAGGGGAACGTTAGAGAGTATTATTTTTGGTCAGGAATCTTGAAATTATCAGTAACGAGGGGAAATAAGAGAAAGTGGGCGTCTAAACCCAAAAATCCTAGAAAATGATGCTCATTTTAGCCGCGTATGGCTGTTTTCCCGAACAAATGAGTAGAGCATCAAGGCATGCCTCGCTAAATTTACGCATGCCACGTACAGTTCGAACCATGTAAAGGTTCCAGGACAGAAAAATGGGCTTCCATCGTAATTAATCGTGAAATTGCATATGCATGGTATTTCTCGAAGTGGCCTGTTCAGTGTCGTGGCCGACTTTGCTAAATTGCTAAATCCTAATTAATTCAATAATTATTTCGTTTTCTTACTTGGAAAAATCTAGTTTCGTCCTTCCCACAAATCAACTGCATAAGAGTCCTCTGCTAATAACCATTACTTGTGCTTTTAGCCTTTTAACGAGGTTTTCTCGCCACGTCATCATGCCCGATTCCTGGTTCGCGGTGATCTGGGAGCGACTTCTTGTGTCTGTGCTCCTGTTCATCTGTTTCGTGTACACCTTCGTTGCTTCGTTTTCAATCAGCTTGCATGCTCTCGGTTACGGAGAAGGTATCGGAAGTAAAGCGTTGATGAGTTTTACCTACTTACTGGACGCTGTTTTGGTAGCTGATTTTATAATGAGATTTAACATGGCTTCTGGGACCACTACAGGTAACTAGAGATCTTGAATCTAATATTTTTCTAAAGAAATATCAGATTTTTTTCGGCACTCAGTTGACTGAAAATCATCCTTAGGTCATATTAGCAAACGGTGTAACACACGGGTCAAAACTGGGCCATAAAATTAGACAACATTTAGCACAAAATGCCCAACCAGCTGAGTTTCGTCATGCAACACGATTTTTTTTCCTCCACGACATACGCTTTCAGAAGTTTTTTATTGGAACAATGCATAATGAATGGCTAGAAAATAACATCTAAAAAGTTTATTGCGTGTTAACATGTAAATTCAGGACTAACTAACCGGCTAAAGGGGAAAAAAGAAACCACTTAACTGCCTTCTAAAAAGAAACGTTTTAAATTTTTCTTAGTCTGAATATATTCAAACTACAAATGAATCAAATTGAGCTCGGGAGCAGATGTTAAATTCTAGGAGCAGTATTGCTGAATGATTTGTACTGATTTGAATGAGCTTTTCATTTTTTATGATTAGAAATTGAAGATATAAGAAAGTCTTACAGAAGAAGTCTGTTATTTTGGATCGATTTACTTGCTATTCTTCCCATTGAGATCTTCGCCCTTTCCCAAGACGATCATCACAAGATTTGGCATTCTTTGGCATTCCTACGGCTGAATCGGCTCATTAAAGCTGTAAGGGTAAGAGCACTGCATAACTATAGAGAGAGATCTTTTTCTTCATTGAATTAACTTCCTTCGAAAATGGAATTTGCAGAATTTGAGAACATTTCAAAACATTGCTATCACTGATACATTGCTTTCCATCGAAGAACGTGTAACCGGCTATGGGAATCTTCATTTAATGTTTGTAAATGTTAAATTTGGCTCACACAAAACGCTTTCAATTAGCGATGTGACTGCATCAATATCTCTTTGTTTCGTGGTTAGTCTCTCCTCTACTTTATACAATCTTTCTTGGTCACACCTAATTACAAGATTTTGAGACAAAAAAGATAGGAATCTATGATTGGAGATGAACTTTGTTCATTTGTCTCACGATAGAGTTACTTTTGATGTTGATCACGATGTTTCGACTGCTAGTCTTCATCAGACGATGATGAAGACTAGCAGTATTGCAGTCGAAACATCGCGATCAACATCAATAGAGACTCTATCGTGAGACAAACGAACAAAGTTCATCTCTTATCTTACAGCACGATGGACGATAAACACATATCTTATTACATTGAATCTATGATTCTTTCTTTCTTTCTTTTTGATTTGTGTTTTTTAGATTCCGCGTTTCTTCAGTAACCTGGAGAATAATCTCCATTACAATATTGGTAAAGTGCGAGCCGTGAAGTTTACAATCTATATTATCTTAATCACTCATATTAGTGCCTGTGTGTGGTTCCTTGGCGCCTGCTTCAGAGAAACGTACGTTACATTTTCATTATTATCATTTCTGTTACCTACATATCGATGCAGTTTTCTGTTAGATCTCGATTTCAATGACGCTACCACTTTCGTTATTTCACTTCGAAAGCGTTTGAGACGTGATAATGATCGTGATCCAGACCGATGATCGATCGATGATCGATCGATGCTCGTCATTGTGAGTCTCACTGTGAGCTTGAAATTCTTATCGTTTGCTTCTAATCATTGTAGATGTACAGAGGGGAGCTGGGCCCAACACACCGGAAATACCCACAGAATAGCTGGCTTTGGTGACTACATCTCTAGTCTCTACTGGGCAGCAGCTACCATGTCGTCAACGGGTTACGGTGATATCCACGCCCACAATATGGAAAGTCAGCTGATTGCTACAGTGGTCATGCTCACTGGTCTCTTGCTTTATGGATACTGCCTTAGTAGCATTGCTGCCACTCTCGCCAATTCAGCGGCTCCAAAGTATGTTTCTTCCTTTAAATAAAAACTCGTTAAAGCATAACGGATTGTCAAGGGATTTAGTATGATATGCATCATAAATTCTATGATTTTCAAAGTTAAAAAAGGAAAGGAAATAGCCACTGCACAAGGTCCATCATCTGAAATATCACATTAATTCCTCGGATAGGAAAATATTATTGTACAGAAGTAAGATTCTAACAAGCTGAAGAGTGAATTACGCTCTGAGGCATCCAGATACAGAAATACTTAAATCAAGATGTTAAGTTCACTAGCCACACGTGGTGTCAAGTCTATATGCTAAACCCGGACTCGGCGGTTGAAGACTCAGCGCCTCTAACAATGCGCCATACGTGGCCTATCTTGCAAGTGGCGTTTTCAGTATGCAAAATGACCTCAAAACCATGAGTGAACCGCCGAAAAAAGGAATCATGGTGTTCTGAATTGGAAACAGGATGGACATAACACCAAAAGATATCAAAGCGAAATATTTCTCTTTCCTCAGAGTGGAATTCTTCGCACGGATGACAGCCACGCAAGAATTTATGGCAGAGCAAAATCTTAGCCGCCACCTCATGGAGAGAACTGAAACTTATCTGGCGATGCTATGGAGAGTGCACAGGTAATAAAATTTGTTGGCTTCCAAATATACATCCCAAGGGAACCTCTGCAATAGTTCAATGAAAAAGTCACGTTATATGAAGATGTCAAGCCCGATAAGTAGAATACGGGGCTCGGCTTTCTAAACTGCAAGGAAAGGTATCAGATATAATAGGAAAGAATTTGCCTTTCTTTTTGTTGTTGCAATTGCAGTAACTGAAACTCAGGTTACTTTGTTTTTCAAGGGGTGAGGCAACACCTGGAGGAAGGCGTTTAATTGAGGATATGCCTTTATCACTCCAAATGGACGTTACTTATGAAGAGACAAAAGACTATTTGGAAAAGGTTTTTTTTTTCATCTACGTATTTGTCAATCTATCAATGTTTTTATTTCATTCTGAACAAAAGAATAAATACACTCTGTCTGAACTGATCAATGGCTTTCTCAAATGACCCTTTTTTTTTGGTATATAATGCAGCGGAGTTTAAGCAATTAAGATTTTCTAATCTTTCTTGTTTTCATTCATTTCAAGAATAATAAAAAATGAAGCTCTATATCCACGTAGGTTGTTATCAACTTGAACAAAGGGGGCGAGTTTCTAAAGAAACTATGGACGCAAGTGGTGCGTCCGTAAGGGATGTAACAAGATAATTTTGTTCAACCAAAAGAGTTGATAATGTAAACTGGCCACCGTGAAGAGTTTTAAGCTGACGTTTCGAGTGTTAGCCCTTCGTCAGAGCGACATAGTCTTGAGTCTGATGATTTCGAATAAACCCTGCGAACTGTGCACAAATCTTAAATATATTTTGCCAATTTCTTACGTTGAAACCATATTTTTGAAAGCCACAGCACAAATGGATCAACAAATGATGCTAAATCTTTCTGATTAGTACGCAGACTCGTATTTTTCCTCGAATCTAAAAGCTTAACGGCACTAATTGGGATTTTAGTAAAAACCGAGAAGATAACAGCTTCTTACTCTTTCATAAATGGCAGGTCCCGATATTCATGGAAACGGACGCCATCTTTTTGCGAGAACTATCGCTGAAAGTAACCTCATATCTATTTTCCCCAGGTAAGTAAATGATTAAGCGGAGAATGCTGTTTCCCATCGGTTTACTAGAGTATGATCGCCAGCAATTACTCAGAGAGTGACCACTGACATCGGCTTTTCTATCAGGATATCCGTTTGATGGCATCTTTTTTTTTTCAGTAGTAAGGTCCCTTCAGCACCTTACATTGGAGGACTGTTGGCTTGTGTTTGCCTTTTCTTACCGTTGAACGCTTATTTGCATCAGCATGTATTAATTACTCGGTAAATAGCCAGTATTAGTCAGCTCCACCTCGGTAAAAAGTTGTTTAATACAACTTGTTTGTTTTGTCGCTGAATCTCTAAAAGCAACCTCTGCCTTTGCAGACAAACGCAAAGAGGTTTTCATTCATCGTGTTTTTTTTAAACCATAGACAAGCGTAGCCCACAAGATTCATGCATTACACCAATGCAACATTTCATTTCCTTCAGTTATTAATTTCTTTTTGCAGTGACCTCAAATTATTATTATTTTTTACTTACTTTTCCTTCTCAGGCGACTACATTGTATACGCGGGTGATATGGGTAGAGAGATGTACTGCGTCAGACGTGGTCTAGTTGAGGTCATCGCAGATGATGACAAGGGCACCGGTGAAGCCACTGTAGTCGCTACTTTGGGACCTGGGGCCTACTTTGGCGAGGTATAGAATCTTTCAATCTCCTTATTTTCATTTCTTTTTCGGAATGGAAGAAGGGAGGAGGGGGAGGGGGAAGAAGGGGGGATGGGGCTAGGTGGGCTGGGGGAGGGGGAAGAAGGGAGGGATGGGACTAGGTGGGCTGGGGGGGAAGAAGGGAGGGATGGGGCTTGGTGGGCTGGGGAAGGGGGGAAGAATGGAGGGATGGGACTAGGTGGGCTTGGGGGGAAGAAGGGAGGGATGGGGCTAGGGCGGCTGGGGTAGGGGGAAGAAGGGAGATACGGGACTAGGTGGGCTGGGGGAGGGGGAAGAAGGGAGGGACGGGACTAGGTGGGCTGGGGGAGGGGGAAGAAGGGAGGGATGGGACTAGGTGGGCTGGGGGAGGGGGAAGAAGGGAGGGACGGTACTAGGCAGGCTGGGGAAGGGGGAAGAAGGGAGGGACGGGACTAGGTGGGCTGGGGGAGGGGGAAGAAGGGAGGGACGGGACTAGGTGGGCTGGGGGAGGGGGAAGAAGGAAGGGACGGGACTAGGTGGGCTGGGGGAGGGGGAAGAAGGGAGGGACGGGACTAGGTGGGCTGGGGGAGGGGGAAGAAGGAAGGGACGGGACTAAGTGGGCTGGGGGAGGGGGGAGAAGGGAGGGACGAGACTAGGTGGGTTGGGGGAGGGGGTAGAAGGGAGGGACGGGACTAGGTGGGCTGGGGGAGGGGGAAGAAGGGAGGAACGGGGCTAGGTGGGCTGGAGGAGCGGGGAAGAAGGGAGGGACGGGACTAGGTGGGCTGGGGGAGGGGGAAGAAGGGAGGGACGGGACTAGGTGGGCTGGAGGAGGGGGGAAGAAGGGAGGGGTGGGACTAGGTGGGCTGGAGGAGGGGGGAAGAAGGGAGGGGTGGGACTAGGTGGGCTGGGGGAGGGGGAAGAAGGGAGGAACGGGACTAGGTGGGCTGGGGGAGTGGGAAGAAGGGAGGGATGGGACTAGGTGGGCTGGAGGAGTGGGAAGAAGGGAGGGACGGGACTAGGTGGGCTGGAGGAGGGGGGAAGAAGGGAGGGACGGGACTAGGTGGGCTGAGGGAGGGGGGAAGGAAGGGATGGGACTAGGTGGGCTGAGGGAGGGGGAGAAGGGAGGGGTGGGACTAGGTGGGCTGGGGGAGGGGGAAGAAGGGAGGGACGGGACTAAGTTGGGGATGGGACTAGGTGGGCTGGGGGAGGGGGAAGAAGGACGGGACGGGACTAGGTGGCCTGGGGGAGGGGGAAGAAGGAAGGGACGGGACTAGGTGGGCTGGGGGAGGGGGAAGAAGGAAGGGACGGGACTAGGTGGGCTGGGGGAGGGGGAAGAAGGGAGGGACGGGACTAGGTGGGCTGGGGGAGGGGGAAGGGATGGGACTAGGAGGGGGAGGGACGGGACTAGGTGGTCTGGGGGAGGGGGAAGAAGGGAGGGACGGGACTAGGTGGGCTGGGGGAGGGGGGAAGAAGGAAGGGATGGGACTAGGTGGGCTGAGGGAGGGGGAGAAGGGAGGGACGGGACTAGGTGGGCTGGGGGAGGGGGAAGAAGGGAGGGACGGGACTAGGTGGGCTGGGGGAGGGGGGAAGAAGGAAGGGATGGGACTAGGTGGGCTGAGGGAGGGGGAGAAGGGAGGGACGGGACTAGGTGGGCTGGGGGAGGGGAGCAATTTACATCAACTATACGAAACAAATAAGGCGGGGACACTGAACACCAAGCAGCTAAGAACCTCTGAACCTTAACACTCCCAGACTTTTCAATGGTGCGATGAGAACCAAGTACTTGATCACGTAGACCTTAATATCCGTTTTGTTCATGTTCATAGATTGGACTTATCTTCGGCGAGAATCGCTTGGCTACTGTAAAGGCAAAAACGTTTTGTGAGATTTTGATGCTGACTAAACCAGATCTTGATGAGGTGTTGGTGCGTTTTCCTATTGTGGCAAGGTTTGGCCCATATTGAAATGATTGCTTTTACTTCATGTAGGGAAACATTTCGGCTAAAGTTGCCTCGTGGCCAATGAATGATCAGAGATGGATAAGGTCAACATAAGGGGTTGATAATAGTACCTTGAAAAGATCGTGGATCTCGCAAAATTTTGATCCGATCTCGAGAGCTCACCAACCTTAATAGGTCTCTATTGAAAAAACCAATTTGTCCTCTTTAGTCCGGATTCTGAAGTCCTGCATTGCTCTCCAAGGTCTCAAAATCTGAGATTTTCTTCTTCTTAACGAAGTGCTTGTTCAAAAGTTAGGTTACCTGACCTTGAATGAAGGTTGAGAGAGGCGAAAATCTGTACATACTCGCCCTCGCTGTCGTTTGAAAAACAATACTGCAATATGGTAGCTGATATATTGTATAAACAAATCGCAACTCTAACATGATATTGCGCAGTCACAATGGTACCATGCAATAATGTAACTGAAGCATCAGTTATTATAAAGGAATCTGTTGCTAAAATCGATGTCTCGGTTCTCGGTTTCTTTTTTTTATAATTTATCACCTCTAACATGATCACTTTGAGAAAATGGGCCTTTATTTGTTTTGTAGGCAAATCTATGACGCTGGAGTAAACAGTGACCATGTTAAAGACGTTCGTCAAGCAGCTTTTGAATCCACCAAGGCTGCCGTCAGACGCTTGTCTATGAAATGTGCCAATCAAGAAAGATCATCAGTCATGTCTAAAAGCCAAACGTCCAAAAAGAAGAAAGAAGGGCGCGTGTCGCCAGAGTTGAGGTACATTAATTTTAAAGTTAAACCCCCCCAAAAAACAAAAAATACGAAAACCTGAGATCTTTGAGTTGTAAAACAGTCACTATGACACGAAAATTTGGGTGCATTAACTTACAATAATTATTTGCCGAGGATTAAGTGTATATTGCCCACGTTCGTAACGCATTTGCAAGGAATTTTCAATCAGGGTTGAACAGTAAGCCAAGTTTGGCCTGTTTATTCGAAATTTTGTATGCCCCTGCGTAATCATCTCGATCAATCAAGTGAATAGTCATCATAATTCGGTCGCTACTAAATTTTATTTTTAAAGTCTATTTGGTTAGATTTCGAAAATTGAGCCGCGCAGAAGTTTTATTAGTCTTGTAGCTTTGAGATGGTGTTTATCAATGTAGCTAAAAGATGAGAGGTGAAAAGATATTTTCCTTTTGAATTGAAATTCAGTGAACAATACTCATTTGAAACTTGCGCCTGTCATAGGCCTTCCCATGATGCTCGGGTAATTGGCCTTAATAGGACAAAGGTCCAAGATCTTGGTCTTGTTTGCTCAGTTGAGATTTTAAAAAAAAACTTAGTTCAAATTCGACCACTATTTCTTAAGATTAACAACTGAAAGTAAGCTGAGACATGAGCCATTAATGTTAATTTGTGAAAATAAAATAGATGAGGTGGCATGATGCTTTCTTCCTATTTCTAGTGCTATGCGGACAGGTTTTATGTCTGTGACCAATGAAAGTAAAGAGGATGTCAACAAACCATATAATGACCTTCATCCTATCTTTTGGCTTTTTTCGCGGCTCCTAATGAGGTACAAACTCTTAAGTTAGAAATACAGGGTTAGAAATACGTGACTGTTAAACATCGAAATGTAGACGCAACATCCGCCATTCCATCCTCCCCCCCCCCCTTTCCCCAGACCTCCCCCCTTCCCCTTCTCTCCAACACCTCCACTGCATCATCTTGAAATGAAGCCCTGGTATTATGTTTTGTTTTGTTTTGTTACTTCTTGAAGATGTCATTTTGGTGCTTGTCTTCTTCTCTTCGTAAATTACATTTCAGCAAATTCCATCCTCTGTTCTTCCTTTAGCTACTATCATCATTATAGTGATTACGAATTATTTTTCGGGCGTTTAATAATGAATTTAAGTTTTTTCAAATCATAAGCAACTGATAAATGTATTCATTACACATATAGTCTATGATTCTTTAACTCTCCGAATGGCGAATCAAGTTGCTTTAAAAAGTACGCTGCTGAACTTCTTACTGAACTGCTGATAAATGTAATCATTGCACTTAAGTTCATGTTTCTCCAACTCTTTTCACAGACATTCCATCTCGCCGGACAGCCATTACTTTGTCATGTGGCAGGGATTGTCTCTTGTCATTGCAGGGATTTTTACCTTCACACTCACGTTACAGGCGGCTTTCTTGCATACTGCTACCAGTTTATGGATCGTAAATTACTGCTTTGATTTCCTGTGCTTGGTAGACATGTAAGTAACATAAAAAGTTAGACAAGGTGGTACGTGCGTGGACAAACACTCTATATTTGGAAGCCAAAAGGGTCCATTCTTCGTGCCAGATCCCTCACAGACCCTGCAATAGCTAGATTCTCATGAAACTGGTCCCTGAAGCCGCAGCGCTTGTGAGAACATGTTCACAGGCTACTTGTTGTCTCCCCTTCCCCTTCCAAAGTTGACTACGAGATATCAGCTCTAAAGTGGTAATAACAAGAAATACAGGGGAAGAGGGACAGAGAAACACAAAAATGGTGGTGTGAGAGTGAAAATGTCTGATCGACTAACAGTTTATGCTACGTTCTTGTCTACGCTCTTTCATTTTAGGTATATTAAATTTCACTTGGCGTTTTACAACGAGAACAACGTCCTTGTCACACATCCGATTTATACTGCTCGTAATTACCTCAGGTAAGATATTTTTGGCGTCTTGTTGTTCTTGAAAATGAGTTTTGTGAAAGGTTCCCAATTAATTGGTTGCGTGCAGCTGGTTCACACTTTCTTCTTCGGACTAAACGCGACAGAGATTCATAGAGAAATCTTCACACAGATAACCCTACGTGAAGTAATTACTATGAAGCATATTGATCAAATATTTTTTGCGTTTCAAGGAGAAATTTTCCACTGGATCTTCTCTGTTCCTTTCCCACTGACATTATCGTGTTGGCCATTTGGCCAGTAAGTCTCGGTAAGTGTTCATACTTATTAAGCTGAACAAGCAGTTTCTTTTCGCCCTCTTGAACAATTGATGATGTTCAGTACAAAAAGTGAACCCTTGACGTACCGGGCCTGCCTTTAGCTGACTGTCAAGTTACAGAGCTAGGCATTGCGCATGTATGAGTTCACAGTTATTAACTATTTCACATCAACTGGCTATTTTCCTCTATTTTTAAGGCATAGATGCAACGGCCGAAGTTAAAAATTCCTTATCAAAAACTTTTGTTGAATATAAATCGCTTGAAACAGAAAAAAATTTTATGAATTTTATAGATGCCAACAAGTCGCAGCACTGTCCAGAAAATGCTGGCATTTTCATCATCGTTGACCTTGTTTAAATTTTCTTTCGTTTGAACTTGATTGTGTCTACCTCCCTTTAGGCGTTCTTCGTATCCTGGCCTTGGCTCGTCTAAACAGATGCCTCTACATGTACAAAACGGTAGGTTTACATGAAGAAGGTGTCCAATGAGGGCTCATGGGAGAAAAAAGTGGCCACTCTTTACAGTCTATTTAAATGAGCATGCGCTGTACCCAGTTTTGACTAGTGAGAAGGTTCTCATACAGATGAGAGGAACAAGGAACGATAATCATCTTTATCACACATTTATTTTGAAATCACTGGTGATCCTTGCAATCTAATTGGCTCTAAGCAGTGCAATTCATTCTCGAATTTCTGTAAATTGTATCTTTTTCACATCTTTTTCAAAAGGCTTGTTTTAAATGACCAATCAAATTGCAGAAAAACGAAAAACAATGAAGCCTTTGTGTGGCGAATTTTACAATTTTTGTCTTCAAAAATTTATCCACTTTTATTACTGTAAAACCGAAACTTACAATTACGCATAATATTATGTTCTTTACAGCTACAGTTTTTCCACTTCATGACGAATTCAATCGGGAAAAATATAAACCTATTGGGGTAAGAAGAATGTCAAAGATTTAAATGGTAACTGCAATTTTCTTATAAAGAGCTCCTATATAAACCAAGGAAACCCTACAATTTACCAAGGCGCAAAAAATGAAGGCAAATCAAGTAATCCATTCTCTATGGACGACGCTTTTTTCACGAGCTAAACTCATCGCTCTCACGGTGCCTTCCTCTACTCTGTTGTGTATTAAGTTACTAGCAGTGAACTGTTGAGAAACTCTGACAATATACTGGGGAAGGGGGAGGGGGAGGGGATGGGTAACAATGCAATGGTTTAGAATCCCATTCAGGTGGAGTAGCGATAATCCTGGCGCTTCATGCCTTGAAAACCGAAATAAGCTCAAAGGTGTGCACCACTTGGCTCGAGCACTGACTTCACTACATGCTAACAGTTCTCTTTACTTGAATACACACAGGCAGCTCAAGGTTGCTCTGTACATGGCAACTTTCACTCACTGTATAGCTTGTGGTTGGTTTCTGCTCGCTTGTAAAGGACTTGAAAACGGAGATCATTCCTGCGCAGCAGATTCTTGGGTAGAGCAAGGGAATCGAACATTAGGTAAGAAGCTTTGTTTCAGACTATGTGGCTGTCGCTTGTCTCTCTTACCGTCCTTTTGTTTGTTTGTATCTGTAGTTTTCTGCTCATTCATCTGTCTTCTTTGTCTTTACCATCCGAACTGTGTGTCCAGGCGTCCGTCTGAATGCTTCTCCTCTGGTCTCTGTCTGTCGATCTCTCTTTTGGCCTAATTTTTTGTCTTTTGGGCATGAAATCCTTCCCATGAAAAAAGGAAAAACACTTTTCTAACTGCCTATACTTGACTGAAAACGATTTGGAATGAAATTCAAATATAATGACATGTTAACAGGGAGAACGCTGTTTTTGATTGTTTGTCCACAGCAACCAATAGCTTTGGAGAACAGTATATAACCAGTCTTTACTGGGCAGCGGCTACCTCAGCCTCGGTTGGTTATGGTGACATCCATGCATATAACACGACAGAGGTGAGAATGACATCATTTTCGACGATCCACCTGTGCTGTGGGTGTTGCAACACAGCCGTAAAACGTTTGCGCATGTTTAACGTTGTAATGATTAGGTGGCCTTATGACAAGTTTTCTGGTCTACGTATGTTTGAAAATTTTCTGCAGGCCACTTATTTTACTTTACTAGACTCTACTAACATACCTTGCACCTGCTTCCTCTCCAGTAACTGCCCTTTCCACCGCTCTTAATTTCTATCTGACTGATTTTAATGACACTTCACTGTGCACTATTAGTGATTAATTAGATTTATTGTAATTTTATTAAAATTTAAATTTCTTATCAGGATTCTGGTTTGCACCTCGCACGGGATACTTTTTCCGTTCGCGCAATCTCTTTTGGTCTTTTCGTTTCTACCATTGATTTACTATATATTTATATTACATATATTAAACAATAAAGTTGATAAGATATTATTCATCAGTTAGTATCATGAACAACTGAGTTAGAGGAATGAGGAAAACAATGATTGAAGAGTGATGGATTGACTGATTGATGGATTGATTGTTTGTTTGATTGGCAGATGACTTTTGCTTTGTTCTGCATGATCATTGGTATTGTATTCTATGGTTACATCATCGCCAGTGTTGCTGCTAGCCTGGCTAACGCTGACGCACAGCGGGCTCGATACCAAGAAAGACTTGATGCCATCAAAACATTTCTGGAGGTAACATTTTAGTACTAAGAACTTAAACGAAACGCGTCTCTCGACTTACTTTTTCTTCTCTAAGTTCCATTCTTGTTCTATTTTACAGGAACAAGAGATATCTGAAAAACTAACAACCCGTGTTATAAGGTATGCTTATGGAGAAACTGGTAGGACAAGAAGTGACAAATTTCTTGTCGCTTTTAAGCCGACTGAATTACGGCGTACACACGCAAACACTAGAAAATTAGACAGATGCGGAATAGAACAAAGGGAACACGGTTATCTACACTTGGATTGGGAATTACAATGAAAAAAAGGACATAAGTTCCTAACATGTTAAATATTATATCTGAATTTTGGTTTTCAGCTATTATGAATATCTCTGGCTGAGAAACAAAGGAGTCGACGTCAGTTCTTTGTTTGAAGGTCTGCCGCTGGCCCTGCAAGCCGACATCTCCGTTAGCCTGTACAAAGATATGATTGAAAGGGTAAATTCAAACCTCTATCTGTTATTTTTCCTAAGTTCTGTTTGTCTTTTCTGTAACGAGAGCGCGTTGGATATGAAATGATAGATAGCCAACGAGGCCCGTAAGGCCACGTTGATAATTTTCATCTCATATCCAACAAGCGCGAATAGAATAATTTTGATATTGAAAACGCCCCAAAATATGGATAACTCTTCCAAACTTTATTTTGTAAGAACAAACCGAATGTTACAATGTACAAAATTATTTCCGGTTCAACTGTTTCCATGTGCGTGCATGGTATGATGGATCATAACCCAGCCCGAAAGCTTTCTTTTACTCTTAATTACTTGTTAACTTTTAGGATTAAGTGTAACAGGAAAATCATTTTCTTCTAATCAGGTACCGTTATTCGAGGGAACAGAGATCGGTTTCTTGAAGATGCTCTCCATGAAAATGAAGCCAGTTTACTTTCTTGCCAAAGAGTATATCGTACGAAAGGGTGATATTGGTCAGGAGGTAGGGTTTTATTGACTTCTTCGGTGAGGATAAAATTTAATAAAGACAGTTCTAGATGAATCATCTTTGCAACCAATTATTCCGGGTTTTCATTTCGACCAACGCTCAGGTAAACACCTTTGAAATATGAGCGAACTGAGTGTAGGCTAAGTCTATTCCCAGACCTGGATTGTTTTTGGCTTTCGTCCTTACTCCTTAGGGTTTTTTTCCCGCTCTTCAACTGTTTCCCTCCGCTCACGGATCGCCCCGATTGTGCTCTGCAACTTTTGAGCCACTTCTGGCGTTTGGAGCAGTTTTTTGTGGCTCTGGCAACCTCGAAAAATTTTTGAGCAAAATCTAGGTTTAGAGGTCATATCAAGAAGTAAAAAGTTAATCATTTTATAGTAAAACTTCAATTTAAGCGAATTTCTTGAATGGTTACGAAACTTTTGAACACAAATGAAACAATTATTTTGTTCCGTTAAACTTAAGAGTATCCTTACACCTCGCTCATATTTAAGAGCAATTCTTTGACGCTACGTTTTAAGCTATTTTTCTTTACACCGATATTAGCTATTATTGTGAAAAACGAAAAGCAAAGCGTTTCTTGATTAACATTTATATAAAAAGATATAAAATTTTGGCAGAAACTTTTAAAATTAAAGCAGCAAGTTTTTGGCGTTCCAGTGAGCAAATTTCTTCCTTTTCAGATGTATTTTATCCACCGAGGCACTGTAGAAGTGGTATCTGAGCACGATGAACCGATTGTATTTGATACCATGGGCGAAGGAAGATTTTTTGGGGAGATCAGCGTTGTATTTAGTTGCCCCAGAACTGCTTCTATCAGGTACGGAGAAACTGCTACAGTCACGTTTGATTTAATTCTTTTGTTTTGGGTAACCCATGGCCAGGCTGACAATTTTGGGCTCAAGTTTTTGATCAGACTGTTGATCAGACTGTAACCTCTTTTAATTTGATAAGCATGTACCCCTATAAGCGAGAACACACCACCTGAAAGTCATGTATCAGAAGAACTCGGACACGATGTCGATAGCAAAGCATCCATAATGAATATAAAAAGTCAAACTAGTTAAGTTCCCTTAACATCAAGAATATTATTACCAGTATTTAATTTTTTACTTTGCAAATTTGAAATAACTATAACGGTAAGGTCAATAACGATGACGGTAGCGATGACGAAGACGAAGGTGACATCGATGACGACGGTGATTCTTTACCGATCACGATTAGGCGTATGAGTAATAATATATGAAAAGGTATACTCACTGATCGGATCACTGCTTCTCCTAAAGAACTTAAACACAGCCTGCTTACCATTTCTTCTAGGACGCAGAAAAATTCCGACGTGTTTGTGTTGACAAAAAAGGACCTGGACGAAGTACTCAGCCACTATCCACAGATACGTAAGAAAATCTTGGAGACAGCGGAGGAAAGGCAGAGAATGGTAGCTGAGCGAGCAAAGGCTTTTGCCAAGAAAAAGGAAGAAGATAAGAAACGAGAAGAGGAAAACAAGCTCAAGGTATTGTATGGTTTTGTCTGAAGTCAGTTTCTGTTGCAGGAAATTATTGTTCGCTAGCTGTCAGAAAGAAATCCTATTACTACAGGGTGTCTTCGTTTCAAAGCCGGGGTTGCCTCGCGCAGGAGTTCCGTTGCATTCACCGGTATTCGATTATGTATTTTCAAAATTATTCACCAACCTTTTCGGAAGGCTTTTGTGAGCACGCAACCCTCTTGAATATCATTTTGAAACTGAAAGCTGTAATCCGTTGCAATTTAAGCACTCTCTTTTTCAAAGGAACAAGAAGAGGGTCACAATGACCAGGCTTCCCTGACACTCCAGATTGAGGAACCTGCAGAGCCTACACCAACAACTGGACAGCGGATTCTCACTAATTTATGGAATTTCAAAGCCCGTTTGACAGAACTTTTTGTCCACTTTGTAATCTTACCCAACAGCAAGTGGAGGCTCATCAAATATGTCAACTGCGTGTTTGTGTTTGCTACAACACTAACCATTACCTACATGGTGAGGAATCATACATCGCTCATCTTAGAAAGTTACGTCATGGTTTCTGTATTTCTTGAGTTTAGAAACTTAGCACCGATCAGTTTATCCTCAACCGTCTTCCTCTCCAATTCAGCAGATTTTTTTGTGTTTTTATCTTACCAATCTAACATGCAGCCTTTCCCTTTACCCTTATGGTAAATTTTTAGAGCACAGGAAACAACTGAAAATATCGTAATCTAACGATTTCTTGAAGACACTCTGGGCCCATAATAGTTCATAGAAAATCAGGGTTCCAGTCGGAAAATTTTTTCTATTAAGCATAAAATTATAAAGGCAAGGATCCCTTCAACTTGATAGAAGAGTGATTGAAACCATATTGAAAAGATTTCAGTGTCTCCATTTGCAACGTTGTTGTCTTTGTTAGGCTGCTTTTCAAGATCATCCCTGGTATCTGATTACATTTAACTACTTATGTGAGTTTTCGTTTTACGCCGAGGTGAGTTTAGGAAATATTATTTAATATCCTTGCGTGATGAGATCAAATGCGATGTGAAAATAAGGTAGCTTTCACACCCTCATGACACAAGTTGTTTTAAGAATTTCAATGCAATATGAAAAGTCTATTTAGTAGCCGGACAGCTGTAGTTATGCCTTCCACTTTGTTGGTTTATAACTTGGCAACAGCCCTATTTCTATGACAGTATAGAATATATTTTTAGTTTCCGAAGGCTAGAAAAATCTCATGTCCCTACTTTTGCATCCAGTTTGTCATATTGCCTTTGATATGCTGAGCAAATAGAACCGTCGCTAATACGAATCACTTTGTCTCATTTCTTCTCTGTGAAAACCCACCAATGATTCTAATACAGTTTAATGACAGTCATCACTTATTCAGATTTTTAGTTGAAATTCCTTCCTTTTTCCCGACAGATATATCTCAATTTCAACATGGCATACACCAATAACATCGGAGAAGTGATTTCTGATGGAAGAACACTGCTTATCAACTACGCAAAGGGAAAGCTACCGCTAGACTCTCTGGCTTCATTTCCGATCGATATTTTCGCCTTGGCTGCCCCCGCGGACGAACAGCTGTTTGTATTGTCGTATCTGAGGCTTCTTCACTTGATTCGCGTGGTTCGAATGCAACAATTTTTCTCCGAGTTGGCGCAGAGGTTGAATATTGAGTAAGTGTTATTTACGAGCAATAATGTCTTATGTTAGTGTTACTCGTTCACTACACTAGAAGCCGTCTACGATTTATCAACCACGCTCAGGAATGAATACTCTGTTAGTATTTGCAGAGCAGCGAGACGCTCTTCTTAAAGCTCAACATTCGCGATGTTACTTTTCATCGCCTTGTAGCCAAGCAGGTTTCTGTGTGATCTCGTACCCAGATCCTAACGTTTAACTGTAACTAAAATGTGGGGACCTTCCCTTCGCTTAGCCGTGGAAAGTCTGGGTACAAGACTAGTTTCTGTGTTCATGAGTTGCAAGCTTTAATGTGATATGTTAAGTAAAATATCATCTTTTAGCTGGCAACTCATGAACGCCTTAATAGGCTACCTTTGTTGATTAAAAAATACTATCGAGAATTGCTTGGTTTTCTAATCGTAATTAGAATGAATCGCAGTTGTTCTCTCTCCCGTAATTGTTGGACCTGCCATTTTGTCAAAAATGATGTTATCAGCAAGGGAAGTGTCCCCTCCTCAGTCATATTTGCAAATTTGTTTTCTAGTTTGGTTTACAGTAACCACTTTCGCAAAAATTATTTTGCAAGAGTTTCATGCCTAAATTTGAAACACATTTTTTATATACAAAAAAAAAGATAGGATATTAAATTCTATCAGGTGCAAACTGTCGATTTTTGTTCCTTTCCAGCGTTTTCAGAGTGCGCATGACTAAATTCGTCTTCCAGCTGGTCATAGTGATTCATGTATTTGCATGCGCTTGGTATGGTCTGGCCTGTCCGCTCAATGATTGCTCAACTGAGGAAAACTGGATTAAACTTGAAGGTCAGTTAAACGTAACAAAGCTGAATCGATAACGCTTTAGAATTACATTTTAACGTGACTTTCAGTTGTTCTCTAACCATCCCAGCATAAACCGTTTCTTTCATTTTGATGCGACAATTAAACCCAGATTTCATACCCAACTTGGACATCTGTTTCTTACAGATCTTCTAGACGCGCCTGCTCTTTCTCGTTACTGTACAGCGGTATACTGGGTTGTAGCCACTATGACATCCACGGGTTATGGAGACATTCATGGTGATAGCTCTTCTGAAATGGGTGAGCAGAAATTTCTCGAGGCTTGAAATTCCCAACGATTTTTCACAGGTGAAACTCTAAATTGAAAACACTTCACTACACATATATCGACCGCTAAAAAATGCAACAGGAATATTCTGTAAGCGAAGAAATGAAATGACGCTCGGAGTAGAATGGAGATGGATGTATGCCCCAAACCATTCCTTTTTCTTTCCTTTTTTTTTCGAAGATGAAAGATTACTTCATAGCCGTTGCTTTCAGTAAATTGTCGCTCAAAATTACACTGCAAGGTATAACTTTCAATCATCTTGTTTTTACATGGAGCTCTGGCAAGTTTTGTTATGATTTTTGGAAAGCTTCTTTTTGGTTTTATCCTTGGAAACATTGCTTCTACTTTGGCTAACGCTGAGATTAGACGAGTCAAGTACGAAGAGAAACTGGATGCTATTCAGGTGTGTAACCGTCTGCTAGTTGCACGTCGAGAATGGCAGATACGAGGCCAATGTTAATCTGCCATACTCTGTAGGATTTTTCGTGTTTAGCTCTGTTTATTTCGTGGTTTCTTTGTTTTAATGTTGTTGTTGCTGTGGTTGTTGTAATTTTTTTCTATGCCATCCGAGCTGGTCGCCATTTTTATTCACTTGTTAGGCGCATATGTCAGACCAAGACATCCCAGAAGCTTTACAGAATCGAGTAATGGACTTTTATGAGTTTATCTGGAACAAAAACAAGTGAGTCTGGATTTTCCATCGGATCAGGGGTCCTTTACTTGAACGTCCCCGTAGTTACTATCCCGAAAGACCGGTAGAGTGATTTTCGAGTGAGTGTCGTAAAACTTAAACCAAAGTTATCATGACGACCAATCAGAAGACAGGAAAATACCCATCGGAACCAATGAGAACTCAAACTGGAACCGAAGCGCGGGAAAACGCGAGTGACCAAATCGTGATTGGTTTTAGTTCTACATCTGATTGGTTGAGAGCACGGCGCGATACCAATTATCGAGCAAAGCAAAGCAGAGCCATTGGAATCTTTAATTTCTTTTGACACTCAGTTGAAGATGACTCTATTTGTCAGTTGTGGTCACACTTAAGATTCAGACTTTGGCAGAGTTTTAAAATACGAGAAATAAGCTTCGGCCCGTTAAGCTGGGATCAGAGATTCCCAAGACTCTGTTGGAGACACTTTCATCCAACTGTAACACTTTTTTATTAAAATAAAATTCAAACAAACCAAAATTTTGCGTTAAAAATCTCTGAAACCAAACTTTGATCAATATGTTCCAGTCGTTAATAATTATTTGCCTCTTTTTGAAGGGGAATTGATCACGGTACACTGTTCTATGACATGCCTCTTTGCATGAATGGTGAATTGTGTCTGGGCATCGTTAAGGATATTCTTTATGCGGTGAGTGAAGCGATCTTCCATTCGTCTGCGAGTCTTAAAGTCTTGTAATCCTTAGCAGTTTATTATTGGTTACCTGGGAATAAATTGACTTAAATTTCTGTACAATTGGTTATGGTAAACATAGCCCTCGTCATGATAGCGCTCCGGCAGGAGAGTTTCTTCGCCTATGGGAAAGTATTAAGGTCTTGATCAACGCAAGCTGGCGGAAGGCCGGCAAGGAGTCTAGTAGTGTCAGACTCCCAGCAAACCTCTCCCTCGACTCGTCTCAAATCTTCCCGCGCGCGGAAAACGTACTTCCCGCTGCCTTAATAATGAAGGCCTCTCACAGGCTCTGGTGGGCACTAAATGGTGATAGATATATAACAAGCACGGTAGGTATTGATGTTCCGATGAAAAAGGTTCAATAGTTTTCTGTTAATAAAAATTAACTAAGATCTTTAAGAAATTGATTTCAAATCTTAAAATTTCATTACTACCTGTCGCAGTTTCTGCGAAGAATGAATTTAAATACCCAAATCAAGAACTGAAATGTTAAAAAAAATCGTTTTAGTTGTTCATTCCAATATCAAACGTGAAATCTCTCATCTCAGTCACTTCCTTATTTCATGGCTAGTTACTTTGTTTGATTTGTGTTGTGAGCACTTTTAAACTGATTTTCTATATTTATTATTTACAAAGGTTCCTTTCTTAGAAAATACTGAACTACCTTTCATCCGGTTGTTGAGTACCAAAGTCAAGCCTGCGAATTTCCACGCAAGTGAATACATCGTTCGGAAGGGTGATATTGGACAGGAAATGTTCATTATTCGAAAGGGACTGGTAAGTTTTTATGTTAACTTTCACATCCGAAGGCACTGCCGCTTCCTGGGAAAAAAAAGCTTGGAAAAGAATTTTTTTACCCTGGCGTTATTTTAATGGATAAAATCAAGCCTGTAGTGTATTTGAGCAGCCATGTAGACAGTTAGAAACATCAGCCAGGATTATCTTGGATAGTGTGAATGGGACCAGTGTCAGCTCAAAGAAGACCAGAAATTAGTCAATTGCCCAGTTAGTATAAGCAATCGGATCAAGCCCTTTGCGCAATCTGTCGAAAACGGTCTCATTAATTAATACCATCTCTTTAGGTGGAGGTTGTCACCGAGGAAGACCCACCAGAGGTCATTGAAACCTTGGAGAAAGGCGACTATTTCGGAGAAATGTTCCTGATTCACGCCTGTCCCCAAAAAATGTCTCTACGTGCAGTAACTCATGTGGACATGCTCCTTCTCAGCAAAGAAGATCTGGATGCCCTGCTAGTTCATGACCTCCATGTTGCAAAGCAGGTCAGCGAAGTAGCAGAGAGGCTATATCCTAATCCAAGTAAAACCAAATGATGTGCATACTTGAGTGCGACTATCAATCCTCACTCGTTCATTATTTTTCATCACTACAATGATATTCGGAAAAAAAAACTCTTTCAAAACCGTTTTTGATAGTGGTTTCAAAGCCAAGTATATTCACTTTTGGGTTTTTTTCACACTTATTTCTTGATCGTTGGTATCTCGTATTCTTTTTCCTGTATGAAGCCTATGAATAAAAGCTGTTTTCTGTACTCTTTGAACAGATATACTGTTTGCGCGATATGTTGGAACCACAACAACTACTTTTTCAATTCTATTCTTCTTCAAATACACAAAAGATTGCGCTGTGGCCATTTTGAAAAGCAATGGTTCAGAGTGATAATCACCTATGTCAGTGTTATTATATCAACAAAAAGTTTACACTTAGCGCGAAAATATGTCCAGATATATTTTTGTCCTTTTTTTAGTATTGATTTCTTTATTATTTTCAATGTCATTAGGCAAGACTTTCCATCAACAGACGAAACGTCACTTTACACTATATAATTCATCAAAATTAACGACTGTACCAAGTTTATGCGCACACACGCACACATAAAAAATATAGGCATCAGGCGTAAAAATTGATAAATTTAACCGTAAGCCAAAACAGTTAACCAGGAAAACTTAATCGTAAAAGAAGGAAGCTAGGTTAACTGTTATCCTTAAAATGGCAAAAGCCTTCATCCTATTGTGACTACAATTAATAACAATAACGATGAATTTAAAAAAAAAATTCAAACCAAGACTTTAACTCCATTTAACAATTATTCCTGAAGCGCATTGGATATGAGATGGTAAATAGCCAACGAGCGAGGGCTGGGACGTATTAGGTCACGTGTCGCGTTTAGACCAATCGCTTTTGCTCTGTTCTATTAATGCATTCCTTTTTCTAAATCAACGCAGAACAGAGAGTGGTGTAGACTGAACGTAGCCTCTAATCCTCTAGTACCATGGATGGATTGAAATGTTGTGGAGGCCGTCGAAATTTTACTTATCAAGAGAGGGGTAACCTAATTTAGGCAATTCCTCAGTATTGTATCGCGAATCCGTAATACGCATAAAGTTACGCAATCAGGCGAATAAGCGCGCGTGCATTCCGAGAACATGGTATTGTTTTTCAGTGGATGGACTCGGTGAAGAGGTACGATTGTCTTCAGCTCTTGAACGAGCACGGTGACCTATATTTTTATCATATAATTTTGGTGTACAAATTATTCCCTATAAATTGGAGAAATTGGAAAATAATCATCGAAGGGAAAAAAAAAGAGATATAGCTAAACGCGTCACGTGTCACGCGTTACGCAAGTAGTGGGCTTCGTGCTGCACGAAGCCCGCTACTCGATTATGAAATTATAAATTATGAACGACTCGTGGAAAATGTTCGAGTCGATTTTGTTTAAAACTGCGTGACTTTTCCACAAATTGTATATCAAATTGTTCCATACGCTCGAGACTTTTACCTAACAAGTTTTTTTCAAGTGCTAGTTTAAAAACCCTTGCTTCCAGCTACCTCATAACGTGCCTTGAACCAATGAAATGAAGCGCGTGATTAGCGCCACAATAGGCATAGATGGGGTAAGTTTGGCTCATCATATCTTCTACACAAACAAGGTGGCCCATCTTTTTAATTTTATTTTTCGAAACAGACATTGGTAGAGAATGTAATTAACATTTAGGGAAAGTTTAAAAAATTGTTCGATAACCTTTTTTTTTTTTTCTGAAGAATCACCTTAAATTCTAAAAAGTGTACGATTTCAAGAATTCTAGTGGCTGCATTAGGTTGTTGACTTCTTGGATCTGCTTTTCCGTCCACACAACTAACGATCTAGTTTTAGATGGAACAGGGTCAACCATTGACGCACAGTCACGAAGATAATCTTCGGAGCATGAGATATCCAGGAAGTCGCAGATTTTTCGAAGATACTTCGTTGGCTCCCGAACAAATTCTTCCCCTTGTATGTCAATAATTCGATCTCCAAGAGTCTCCCTTGTTGCCTGGCAATTATTGGCGATGTAGAAATACCGCGTTATACTGTCATCAATCGCCTTTGGGATATGCACCTAATAAATCGAATCAAATCATATGTCGAGCTTAACGCGAAACAACTTGATTCAATCTAGAGTAAGCAGACAAATCTGCTCTGTAGATGCTAAACCACCGTAATTTTTCTGTACCTCCAGTAATTGTATGCTTACAACGCATGACATTAGACTCTGTCCTTAATTTCCCCCGTACACATGTGTCTGCGGGCGCTCACAAAACAATTTCGCTTTTTTTCAAACTTTGTAGAAAGATTAACTTGATATGTAGATTGAAATGTAGTAATTAACAATGGGGGTTTAACGATATTTATTTAAATCGCAATCATGTATGAAGCTAAATGTTTTTATTGTAATCTCTCTCCTTTTCAAAAACAAAATATCAGCTTGTTGAGAAATGATCAGGCATTTATAGCAGTACTTTTAAGGAAGCTCACAAAAATGTGTTAGGTATCAATCCATCAAAGAATATATGTTTAAAAATAAAGAACCTATTTTGGGCCACCTTAAAAGGGAAAGATTTGTCAAAGAATCGTAACAATAAAAATTTTTGTTTCGTCTTGTAATGATATCATGCTGTGAGGAGTTAACCAAATCTTCTGTTTCTCTTTAGCGATGAAGGGAAGTCAAAGCCTTGATTTAAAAGATATTTTAATACGTAAAGTTGCGCGAAAAACTAATCGTAGGGTTCTGAAGAGGAATGTTCTTAGAATAAAAAATTCATGTTGTACTCGGCTCACCTTTTTTGTATGTTCTCCTGTTCTTAATCCTCTCAGTCTCAGCGCCATTGTTGATATGTTGTCAAAGGGGTTCCTAACCACGTGAATAATTTTTGCCCTGACGTTAAATTTGTCCTCCAGTTGTTTCAGTAAATCTCTGCCTACTTCTGTAGACAAATGGGAAGCTGTAAACCAACCCAATTTGTCTCCAAGGATCTGCAAGGTGAAAAAGAGTTTAATCAAAACTAAAGTTCTCGAACACGATTGGTTATCACCAGCCCGATTTAAACACTAATAGGAAGGTGTACGCGTTATGCTTGTAATTGGACAGTGTAATAGGACAGTTAAAGTGACAATTAACACGTCATGCTTGTGTAAGTGGACAGAACGCCTCATGTACGCGCTCTGTTGTCTCGCATTTCGCCGAGTTAACTGTTGTTTTTTTTCTTATGAAAACGTTTAACCAATGTCTCGTTTCTTTCTCAAATTTTTCCATAGTTTTGATTAATTGGTAACAGGAATTCGCGTCGTCCAATTCTGTCTGTAATCATACTCGTGATTACCAAATCGGACTCGCGCTTCGCGGTCGTCCGATTTTGTTAATTACTAGTAGGATTACGGACCGAATTGGACTCCGCTCGGTCCTATTACCATTATTTATCATATAAACACAGCATCCCTTTACAGACAAGAAAAGTCGACTTTATTAATGAATGAAAATAAAAGGATCGACAATCTCGGATAATACTCGTAAAGCGCGTTGGTGCACCAAGATGAAAATTTAACATTCGTTGAATAACCACAAAAAACATACAATGGGCGTAATTTTCAAGATGAAAAATTCTCAGTTATTGACTTGGTCCTTACCGACAAAAGAAATGGTTCAGGTAAACGACATGAATCGGCCTATGTCAAATCTTCTAGCTGTCGATTTTCGTTCTCAGCCGCGAAAAATGCCATTACCAAAGTCACTGAATACGTAACTTTCTGTTTTTCTTGTCTTCCTTTGATTTTCTTCCCCTTCTAGGAAAGTTTGAACGTCACTGTCTGTAAGCGATACGGATTTCTCAGTGTTTTAGCAGCCGTAATCCAAGAAAATTCCGACAGTGACGACCTTGGATTGAGAATGGTGAGGGCTTTGCTGTTCATTTATCAACCTGTCCCAGTGGTGTGAAAGGCGAGTGACGCCAGGCTGTTGTTACAAACACTTATACTTTTAAAACTTGCCACCAGGTGGTTTTTTAGGCACAACTGGGAAATGAAATACAAAAACACACCTTAAGCTTCTGATCAAATGTTCCTTGAAACTGATTTGGTACTTTGTATCCAAGCTTTTCGTAATTGGAAACTGTGCCATTTGCTTGTCTTGCTCGGATTCCCCAGGTGGCCGACATGTATGAACGTTTGGCAATTTTGTCAAACATCTCTATTTTCCTCCAGTCTGGGTTATTCTTGTAGGATCCTATCAAATTTAACTCGTTGGAAAGTATTATGTTGGGATGTGCGTCCAACAGAGCAGATACAAGCGTATGGCGACTTCTGGGGTAGCCAATGAAGAGAAGCAGTGTATCTACGTCATCATATGCGGTGTGCAATCTTTCCATATCAAGTTTGCGGACTTAAGAAAGAAAAGCAGCGTTTAGTTAGCCAGGAAAAGAGGCTATGAGACTGATTTTATAAGATACATTCCTAGGATCCTTATCACTTATTTCTTTGAAAATTCAACCAACCGTTAGGGGGTGGGGTGGGGCTTAAACTAAGGAGGGCGAGTAAATTTTTGTTAAGCTCCTTGGGTTACCACGGCCACCAATCTCTTTATTTATTTATTTATTTATTTTTTCGTTCCTAGATCCTACCGTGCATCTGTAACTGAGAATACATGGAAAAACTTCATCTGAAACGTAATACACCTGAACCAGACTTTTTACGTAGTTTTCGTATCTTTCAAGACAATTTAAAAAACTCGTGACGACTTTGCCAAATTTTCTAGATATCTTTCCATGTTTCCAAAGCCGATATGAGGTCTCTTCACTTAGAATTTGAATGGATTTTGATCTTTGGAGAAGAGTCACTTGTTTTGATTTTCGCTCGGTTTAAGTGGACATTTTTTTCTTATTGTGTAAATGACTGATATAATTTATGGGGTGGGGAAATAAATGCTGAAATTTACTTCGACACCCGAAAAATGTCCAGTACGTAACCAGGATTTAAATCGCTTACGATAACAATGAGACGCTCTTTAAGGTAAGTTCCAAGGACACCGACGCAGGAACAAAAATTAACATGTATGAATTGACCCAACTGAAATGAAAGTAAGAAATTCAGATGAAAGAATTCCGTATTTGATTCAGTCTAGTGATATGATTAATTTGCAAGTTGATTTCAACGCAGCGATTGAAGTACAAGTGTATCGGTCATTGCCATTTCGTATCAATTTCATATAATTTTTGCAGACATGAATCTGCAACTGATCTGTTCCTCAGCGCATTTAATTCAGTGCTCAGTTAGTTAGAGCGACTCGCTGGGACCGTGTAGTCACCAGTTCAATTTCGCGTTATGTTCTTAAAAGATCGCTTCTTCTCAAATGTACTATCTACCTGCCCTATCTATAAACGCTTTTATTCAAACACTCGCAGATAGCGGGTCAGCTTTAATGGGTGAAAAAAAAACAACATTGTGTAACGTGCTCTTTTGTGTGAAACATCACCGACTGGAAAATAAAGGTAGTAGGAATAATCATCTTTAATTTAAGTACTATTTCTTCTCCTCTTTCCGCCGATGGAATTGTAAGGTCAACCTAACCCAGACCAACCCTACCCGACTCAGGGTTTTTCAATACATGGTCAAATTAATACAAAAATTTTCCGTCAACTTAACTTCTAGGACTCCATTGGCTAAATTACTTCCTAAAATATTTACTTACCAACAGGTCTAACAGCCGGTTGTTGATTTTCAGCATTAGTTTTGATCAAATAACAAATACAAGAAACAACTACCATTAAAAAAATAGCCAACTTGATAATATTGGTAGAGTGTCTTCCTAATCTTCTGAACATCTTGAAAATCACAAGAACATCAAAAAAGGACGACGTGACCTAAATCCAATGCTTTACGTTGTAAAGCATATCACTTTGGTGCATTTCTCGAAAACACTCTTTATCCCTTAGCGACTGACTCGATGCGGTTCGTTGTTTCACAAGACATTACTTCCTCCAAGTACGCAAAGACAACAGTTTAAATTTCCATTTCCATTCTCGACTCGGGCACAGTAGACAAAAGGACTTTTCAAGGTTTCCTTAGATACTATTAAGAACGGCAAACATTTTATGCTGACAATACTTGATTTATGTTCTCATCAAACACAAAAAGTGAGTCATTTGCATCCTGTCGCGGTCGACAGGATGCAAATGACCATATTGCAAATTGGTAGCAGCGAGGTAGCGTGAACAGAGGTGGAATGTAATGAGGATTCACTGTCTGATGCCATTCTTTCGAAAGTTAAAAAGTATTTACGAGCCCGCGCGACTCCTGTCTTTCCTCCGTGACGAATTCGCTCGTAGGAGGCAACTGACGAGATTCAGGTAGAATCGAAATTGCAGTCTCGCCTAAGAATTTATACAAATGGCAGCAGTTACATCCACAGCCGATGGCTATGTGAATGATAATAAATTCAGAAAATACATTCCTAGACGCTAGTTATATATTAAACGTATTACAAAGAGACAGAGACTTTCTATTAGACGAACTTTTTTATCATGTGGCAAATTTTGCAACTTTTGTTTGCATCTCATATCTAATCCCCCATCAAAAATGGACATGAACTCTAAATATTCATAACACGTACGTATACCGTTTGCTTTAATTCTACCTTAACAGTCCGCTCCCAATCAGCCATTTGAGGGATTTAGCAAGATGATCGACGAGAACGTCATTTCAGAACGGGAGAGCACGCGGCTAGTCTGGACACGACTCCATTCAGACTTCCAGTGTCGGCGTTGCCTTTCAATTACCATTACATGTTATTCGGTGTTATTTGTTGTCATTGTCGTCCGTGATTAAAAAAATGGACGATTTATTCACGAAATAAAAAATTTTTTAGCTTTAAATCGCCTCTTTTTGATCAATGAGCCAGTGAAAACTAAACAACCAATTAGATTATGCACTTGTTTACAATCAAATTTCAGAATGACAGTCAATTTGATTTCGGCACGACTTTCTAAATCTCAGTATTAATTTTTTTAACGACTTTGTTCTTTAAAAAAAAATCAAACAAACAAACAAAAAAAAAGAACAAAGTCTTATTCTTAAGTCTAGCCGTTTCTTTGGTGACTAGTTTGAATTCATGTCATTCTTTCATGGTTAAACAGGAACTCATCGTAAACAACTCCATCATTGGGTCGCTTGGTTTCTACATGGTTTCGCCATAACTCCAGATAACTCCGTTCAAAATGCATTACAACTCTAAGAGAGAGGTGCTCAAAAGAGATGTACAGTCATGATTAAGAATATTCAGAAAACAAAGGGAAAACCGACGACCATTTCAATTCCAAATTATACTTTATAAAATTATGAAAAAAAACGAGTAGTGCTGAAATCTAGTGGCACGAAACGAAACGAAGCGGCACAAATAATTTTAAAAAAGTTATTTAGTGGGCTTCAAAATTTGATAGATGAATTAGCAGACTCGAGACTTAACTGGAATGAAATAATTTCAAAGTTTAATCGCCCATGTGGATTCATTTTAACAACTTACTTGCCGTATCTATAACTATCCTCTGTTTGCGCTTGTTGCATATTCAAAGGTGATAGTGATCTTTAAAGAGCCGAGGTTAGGATATTCAAGGACAAATATAACGTTGACGGTTCGTTGCAACGACTGCTGAGTCACTTCTGAGACACAACGGGGCGACGTTCTCAACCCAGTTTCTAAAAGGTATTTTTGCTGCGCGCGCCGATGTCAACTGACGCTCCCGTCCTCTTGCTAAACCCCTCTATCGAGCGCCCCAGAACGCCATTCTCTCGCCTTTATATTTCTTTATACCTGACTGGCCCAGCCTTCGCTTCTCAAACTTGCTGTCTCGGATCGTAGGTCGATGACAGGAAAGCCGCTTCTTGAAACAACAAAATCACTTGAACTTGTTTCTTTCACGAAAGACTTGGGTGTCATCTTGGACACCCACTACCCACTAAACTTATGAATGTCACGTCTGTAATCTTAAGGCCGGTTGCTTAAACAAAGTATAGCCTTGGTTAAACAAAACTGCGTCTAAACAATCCTCAATTTAGCTTGACCTTCGATCTGAACGCTCATTTTTGTGAACAGTGTCAAGAGTGCCTAAAACTGTGGAAGGACATTGATCAAATTAAATCAACCCTCTTATAGCGCATCCCTGAGGCCCACTGATTGCGATAGTTTGGATTAGACTGCGTATAAATAACCAGCCCTAAAATTTTTAGAAGAATCTACGTGGAACGAAATGATTTTCAAGGAAATGTTTCGGTTGGATCCGACTCTGCCAAAATATTTCCAAGAAAATCAATACGATCCAGTCAGAAGCTTCTACACATTATGACTTCGGAACGTGGAATGAACATTTTTCTTCTATCTCTTGTGGTTCCATCTGCTTATTTCGTCAAGTTTAGTTTTGATTCGTAAACAACTCTGTTTTTGGTAAAAGTTTCATCGTTATTTTCAAAACGATGTTTTAATGCTCAACAGTCTGGCCAAACTCGTCTCTCTGCTTCTACTTTAAAGGAACTTAAGTTACAACTACACTTTGCTGCAAAATTGTTAAGAATTCCAGGAATTACGATCACTGTGATCGTGTTACCCAGCTTCTGCGCTAGTGAAACTGGCTGCCTGTCAGACACCTTGATAATTTTGCGCATGAGTGCGTAACCAAACTTAATCCTACTTAATATAAATCATGAAAATAAATTAATAAAGTATTATAAATAATGCTAAATTTCATCATTAATCCTACTTATGTGAGTGAGAAATTTCACAAACCATCCAACATCCATAGCCCAGCCGCAAGTGGGATACTTCACAGATACCACTGTTTAAACTGCTACTGGTCAACAAACATATTTAGAGTTTTTAACATATGAAATAACTTAGATGATAAATTAAAAGTCTGCTTCTCCCTCAAAATTTTTAAAAACATAATGAAGAAACAATTTCTTCCTCAGCGGTAATTTTTTGGTATTATACATATATGTAATGGTAATAGGACCTAGTGGAGTCCAATTCGGTCTGAATCATGTATTGACATATATGATTACAGACAGAATGGTAATAATCATAGCCATTTCCATTTCAGAAAAAAACAAATACACCTAGAAAAAAAATGACTCCAGTGGAGACAATAGCTTCAACTATCTGATTACAGATGTCCGATTACAGCCAAATGTCCCATTACATTATCCGATTACAACTGTACAGAATAAAAAAAAAAAAAAAAAAAAAAAAAAAAAAAAAAAGCTGTGAACGCACCAATAATATTTGAATAATTTGTAATTGTCATGATTAATTTTATTTTTGGTTGCTCGTGTACATGGCGACTAAAAATCTCCATCCATTCAGTCATCTCCTGATCCTGGAAGAAGGGGAATGGTGCACCAGAGGAAAGTTTGGGTAGGAAGTGAAGGTCTGCTGAACTGCCATCATTCCTTAAATAAAAAAACTGTAGAAGTAATCAAAAGACTTCAGGAAGAAACCTCCAAATTCGCTCAAGTTTAGAACTACTTAAGTCAAGTAGCTTTGAGAAAGAGATTGTATCTGCCATGTATCTTCAAGAGTGAAAATTTTGATTTCATCTAATATTTATTGATATACAATGTAAAATAACAGATTAATGTACATGTCCATAGATTTACAAGGAAAATCTTTGACCTCCTGCATTGTTTCCTCAAAACAGTTTGAGAAATAAACTGCATTTGTTAATGCTGTTCTAGCTGTCTCTGTAAGATTGACTTGATCCTTCTGCCTGAGACTGCTACCATCAAGAAACCTTTGGCTTTTTGGCAGCACTAATGTCAATAGAAGAGGAGACAACTGATCCCTGTGCTCCAACTTTTACTGGTGGAGTTGCGGTTTTGACAGGAGGTGCTGGGGCTGCACTCACATCCCATTTGCTCTTCCTCTTCTTTGGTTCCTCTGCAACAAAAACACAATTGAAAGGAAATAAACAACAAGTACATAGTCATCAACAAAATAAGTAAATTCACTTTACAACCTAACACCAGAATGCACACTCTCCATACTGTTCTTCATAAATTCCTTAGGTGCTGACAAGGAGAATTTGTTTAACAATCAAGAGCTTTTTTAGTAGGTGATCATTTCCTTTTTTCTTGTGCCCTTAAATTTGTGATTGATGGGTGATATTGAAAGGAGAAATTAGATGCTAGTCACTATAAGAGGTCACGGGGTTAAGAAGAAAGAGCTGCTCTCATGGGGGGGGGGGGGGGTAACTGCACATATAATATTGCAAGAATCCTGTCATATTCATGAACAAAAAAGCCAAAAGCTGAGATACCTGCACCTGACTTTTTGGTCCCAGACACAAATTCCACCTTGAGGAGGAAAACAAATGACTTATTAAAAGAGCAAATACATGTAAATCTCTACAGGTGTTCTTCTTGCTATTGTCTAACAACTAAATGTATGAAAAAGCACAATGCAAATCTAAATTCAATATGTGCAGTAGTGAGACACCACAGTAGAAGAGTTTCTTCACCTCTAAAATGAGAGCTATAAGTAATGCCATCAAAATTTCACCTAAGAATTTTACATGCCACATTTAGCTGGTTACTTAGTTTACCCTCTAACTCCAAGACGTGACTAACATGTAGCTACTACACATTTCGATGTAAATTAGTTGTGAGAATTTGTTGTTTGATCAAGATGGCAACTTCTACCTGATAAGTTTGGGTACCGGTATTCCTGTTATTCAGCAAACAGGTAATGGGAATACTCAAACTTATCAGGTAGAAGTTGTTATCTTGATCTAACACCAAATTCTCACAACCAATTTAAATTGAAATGTGTAGCAGCTAGCAGGGAGTATGAATGATCAGATCTTAGCAGCTAAAGGGTTCACAAACATCCTAGTTCCTTACCTGTGTTCTTGCTTGCTTTGCTTTTTCTTTTTCCTTTCTCTCGTAAGCTTCTTTCTGAGCTTTGGCTAAAAAAAAAAAAAAAAAAAAAAAAACATACATTGTATCAAATAATCAGAGGATAGAAGTTGATAAGGAACTAGTAAGATCATTGTGCATTGTATCTAGACAACATACATAAGCTTTCATAGTAAGACTCCTCAGGCCAACAGGTTGGATCGAACAAACTCTGTTAAGGAAGAGAAAAGATTTATAAACAATTGAGTCAGAAGTCAGGGGTGAAAAATAAATCATATGTATCTTTTTACTGTTGACATGTTTTGGGTAACTTACAATCAATTTTCTATTTAGCCTTGAAAACAAAAACATGTTAACAACGGATCTACCATCACATTGTTTTTTTATGGTGATATACTCATTGAGAGTCAGTCATTTTAAAAAACTGCATGACCTGTTTACCTTCTTCCTAATTATACAGGTGTGTGGCGACAGATAATAAGTTCACTTCTGTAAGACAAAATGCCTACCTTTGGATAGTTGCTACCAGTTTCATCAATGTTGAGAAATTGCAAGAGCTTCTTATAGATACTGAAATCAAAAGACAATGAAAATCCATTGTATGATTCACAGACCTGTGTGTTTCATGACTCTCACAAAAGATGCAATATCACTGCTTACTCACCTTGGGTTTCTATAATCTTTCCTGTTTTGTATGTTGGTGTTTAAATCAAGCTTTTCTTGGTGTGTCTTTTCTAACAGTGATCGAATCTTATCCTGAGTAAGTAATAAAATTAACTGAAGTAAGGTTTCCTTCATAGCACAAGTATACAGTCCACCTTTACATAATAACCATGTTGCCATAAATAACACAAACTGCTGCATACATGTATGTGGCACAGTTCTACTGAAATGATGCATTATGATGTTTTAAAACTTGATAAAAAACCAGGACATGTTAATTATCCAAAAACCTATTTCAATCAGCATTTCTTTAACTCGTTTCAAAAGCGCTTTTTCTTCTCTTGTTATAAGCCCCCCCTTCAGATAGAAACACCCTATTCATAAGCCTTCCTAAAACCTCATGGGAAATTGTGTGAGCCCATGGCTTATAAGCAGCAGTTTATGGTATTATCAACTTGATACCTGGAGAGCGTTGGAACACCGGCCAGTAGGTTCAGGTGGTAACTGCGGCATCTTTATGTCAGTTATTGAGTTTGATGTTTCTGTGGTGAGATCCTCAACTAACAAGTGTGATAATTAATTTCAAGAGAAATTTTAACATAAGTGTCAAAATCAATCCACTATCAGGCAGTCAGGTTTTGATTTGCTGTCTGTGATTAACACATAACAGATAATGAAAAGGATTTATCATAAATTGGTTAAAAAAAGCCTTCTTTCTCCCTCTTTATCAGAGGTCACCTCAATGACTTGTAAATCATCGACTGATTTATAAATCTCAGAGCAAAAGTGATGAGCATGACAATTTCAGATTGTTTGTTTTTTTGGATCGTTTGCCTGGTGGTTTTTCAAGTGGTTGTTGTCCTCTCTACAAAGTACTTTGTATTAAAAAAAAACTCACCAATAGAATCATCTTTTTCTCCTGATTGCACCATTTCTGATGAGTCACTGATTGTCTGCAAGACATTCAAAGCAGAACCCAATGTAAGCAATGGTGAAAACAAACAAGGCCTGTAATTATTAAAACAAATAAATGAGTAAAACTGAAAAGTTAGAACTATATGCTTACCAAAGAAACTTGAGCAGTATTTTTTTCTTGAGAGGAATCTTCATCAGTAACATCTTTATCTATCACTGAAAAGGGTAAACAGAACAAAAGTGCTGTCACATAAAGATGTGGGACATAACATAAAGAAGAAAGATGTAGTATCATATTGATGGTACAGAGGAAACTGGTTTGTTATAATAGGGGTTTGTTACATCAAAAACCTCTATTGACAAGTTTGCGGAAAAACAACCAAATTGTTTGTTATATTGAGGGCTGATTAATAATTATATTAAAATTTAAAAAAAATTTTATTTATTGTTGTGTGAAGTCATGCTACCCAATACATGAATTTTTGGGATCCAAACAATTACTGTAAATAACATTTGTGCTTTAATGACCATATGAAGCTACAGTACATTGTACAAGTCTGTACATGGCTACAGCACCTTGTTTATAAGGCACGGAGGACAAACTTCAGTGGAAGTCACAGGCAAATGGACAAATAATGATGGATTTTGATTCTAGTTGGTCGGCTCACATTTGTCTTTTGTCACCTGTTGACATTTGTTCGTTATAACAGGGCATATTGTATGTTTGGGCTTCTGCATTGCGTTCGTTATAACAAGGATTTTGTTATATCGTGGTTCATTGAACCAAGTTTCTTTCCCATATATTTTATTGTAACTTTGACTGGACTGAAGAATATCATCATTGAACCAAGGACTTTGTCGAATAGTAGTTCGTTAAATCGAAGTTCCACTGTACTACATGTAATTACACAGTAGATTAGTCCTAACAATAAATAATTCTCTATTTAAGCTTACAAAAACAATCATATTTTTGATACCTTTTTCATCACTGACAGTCTCTTCAACAGTCTCTGGGTCTTTATCAATTACCTAATAATATTAAAACGAAAACCAATAAGAACTGATATATAAAATTTAAACCTTTGTTTTCTACTTATAGTGCATTAAGAAAAAACTATAATGCTGTAATTTCAATGGATATATTTGTAATGTATGACAAGGACTCAAGCCAAATATTTTATTATTCTGCCCACAACTCAGTCAATAAGTACGTAATACATATACATATTCTCGTATTACCATGATAATTTGGCTTCAGCCCTGATGTAGTTGATAATCATATTTATATATATTTTTTAAATTCAATCTCTAACTCTAAACAATCATTAACTTCTTAATAAATCTCTCCAAAAATACCTCATCTTTAAGCTCTTCCCCTTTTTCTTCTTCATCATCATAGGAGACTAACCGAGCACCTAAACAAGCAAAACGCCACACAGGATATTGGTTGATTTGTGTTTAATAATCAATATCAGTAATTTATTTAATTATAAATTTAACTGTCGTCTCGTTCAAAATACGAACGTGCATTAAATCTACAATTACAATAATAAAATAAGATATTTTGATGAAGTGTTGTTCTGTCACTTTACAGGGTGCAATACATGCATGTGCCACGTTGCCATTGTGCAGTCATGCAACACAATTGACTGTGTTTGGTTCTCTGTTACAAAAGAGTAAAATTGTAATACTTCTGGACAATTTCAGTCTAGCAAAAACGGATGCAAATGGATGGTGCGATCTAGAAAGTTATTGCAACACTCGATTTCCATAAGATTAGTCAACTAATTTAGTTGAGGTTAAAACAGGCTTTAAAAAGAATGGGACGTTTCACTTTTTAAGCCAAACTCCCCAATGGAAAACACACTTCGGTACACATGACCTGACCACAATTCTGAACCTAGAGATACACATTTCAAAGGAAAACGCCAAAGTACCGAAATTGCGATTCAATTCTGATTCGTCTGCGCATATGTTAATAAATGTATCGATCTCAGAGATTCTCCTCCCTTCCATGCATATCTTAAGATCTCATCATATATCTTGGCAAATCTTAACACAAGTCTTCCGATGGACTTACTTGTTTTAACGTACGCTTGGGAAACCGAAGGTCTCGCCGCAACAATCGGCTTGTTTTCCGGTTCTACTTCATCATCAGAGTCTTCAATATCACTCTCACCAAGTCCATAATCTGCCAGAGAGTTTAAGGACCCTATTCTTTGGTTATCCATAACAATTTTTATAATGCAGACGCTACAAAATGGAAACAATTTAAAGATGCATCATTAACAGCCCAGCCGCCATCTTGAAATTTTTGAGCATGTCTGTTGTGGAGCGCCTGCTGAACATATACCTGGCGCATGCAAGGCGAAGTGCGGGGTTAGGTCAGGGGTGGGGTAGGGAAGAAGGGAAGGAAGCAGGGTACGATCACGAAAGTATTGTAACGAACGCAGTTGACCTCTGTACTTTGTTGAAAATGTATCTGATGCATGCCTGGATCAGGGTCCAGGGACACCTCACGCCATAACCAGAAGCCGTTATCAAAGCCCAAAGCAAAATCCGCATAAAAATCATGGATTAGTAAAGTGCCTTTAATCTGGCAAAATAATATTTTCTATCGTACCAACCGCCCAGGAATATCCAGGCAGGTGCTTTCTGAAGTTCAACGTTTCATATCTCAAGTTTTCGGTTATGGACTTTAAAACTAAATGGCAATAATTTTGAGACTGAGGCTGAACAGTCTTTCTTTGCGTTTTGAGCCTGTAAACATTCTTAGTATGCTCTTTAAGTAGTGTGGTATAATATTTCAATAAATCCATTCAGAAGTGACCAGAAAATAACAAACTGAATTGTTCTTCAGTGTATCGTGCAATGAGAAACCGCATTTTTAATGTTAAAAAAATATATATTTTAGTATTCGTAGTATTCGGGTTAATTGTGCTGTTAGACCACAGTTCTACATTTTTATTGTACTTTCAATTACTATTCACACAGAAAAAGAAAAAAAAAGCAAAATATCTCTCAGTCTGGGTATGTTCTTCATATGCCCTCAAAATTTTGCTTAAACTCAGCCTCAACATCCTTATATAACAAAAAAACAAACAAACAAACAAAAAAAACAAAACAAAACAAAACAAAACAAAAAAGGATAAAAACGATGAAAATGAAATACAAGTCAGTGGGGGGCTTCTCATTGCCAGCGGGATATCAGACTGAAAGCTCCCATGTGAAGTCGTGGCAAGTGGTCAGCCAGTCCAAGATGGCGCCTAAACCTTAAAATATGCACGGCATCCGGAGATACGCGACAAAAATACATTGCATTCTCCTCAAGTCGAACGCAATTAGCATTTAAGGACGAAATATGAAATGACGTCCACGATCCACGAAGTCAAGGTTCACGCCTGTGGGGTCTGATCGTCCCGTGATACTAGTTCCAAGACTCCTCCCTTCCGCTGAGCTCAATCGTCATTCGAGACTCTGGGTCGAGTATAAATTAGAAAACACAGCAGCGGAGACGTAGTTTTCAAACGCAAACGTTTTGCCGAAACTTTGGAAGAAAGGTGCTGTTTTGGTGAGTGGTATACCTTGATTTGATCAGACAAACACGGATATGTCTGGAAGTGAAGAGAAGATTACGGTAGGTACAAACGTGGGATGACCTTTCATTTTTTCGCTGCTTACGAACATCGGGCGAGCTTGCACTTCACACTTAAAAATGAGCTTGATAATCAGTCCCTTACAAAATATCTCCCACAGCTCAACTTTATAAAGTGTAAGAACCGGCTATTTTCATTCAATACAGATCTGTCTTGAGTTTTTCTGTCGGCGGTCACGAATTTTTTGACGATTAGCGTGAGAGAAGGAATTTGTTGAACTCATGCAATCCACGATATGTCTTCAATGAGATGTTAGTTTTCTCGTCCCTCGTTTGCTTGTTCATCTTCAAGTTAAGTTTCAAGTTCATCAGTTGCAGCTATTTTCTTTTTATCTATAGAAGTTTTTATTTTTAAAATGCTGCCTTTTATTTGCTCCTTCACATTCCTTGATATTGACTAATTTCATACGACCTTGAACGACCTCGGTGTAGTTTTACTAACCCGTGATCTCAACACGTAGCGAATTTTTTATTCCATTATTGTACAAGTTATGTAATTTTTGCGTGCAAATGTAGAGACGAATATATCTTATTTCTGGAAAACTTTCACCGGTGACATTTTGCCTCGCCGTTTGATTAGTTAATGCTTGCTGTGACCTTTTTATTTTTGGCTACTGTGATGTCAACAATATTCGCGGGGAATGAATCTGATTTCTCGACATCCGTGCATCCTGGTTCCAATGTTCACAATTTAAGGTTAAAGTCTTGAGTCAGATCTTGAATAAATATTGGTGACATTCAGGGCACACGAGAAAAGAACGAGCTGTAGTTTAAATTGTGAAATAGAACAAGATTAACCCCTAATCTTTATGGTACTTGAAGTGAGCTACTTATACATGAAAGCACTGTAAATTTAACCTGTTGGACTAGTACAGATGTCTTGTTTGTTTTAAAAAGTGAAAAGGAAAAAAAACAAAAAAAACTAAGGTTTAGGAGAAGCTCATGTTCAATTAAAGAGTTTTTCTAACTTATGGACAAAGTTCAATGAAATTCATAATCTCTCAAGAAAGAGGGTAACTGTAACAAAGCTTAGCTTTATGAAGGTTTAGGTTATTCCAGCCATTATGGAGGTTTCTGTCTGTTAAATGCTAATTAGCTGAGTGCATGTCTATTTTAATGTACATACAGTTAGCAGTAAAGAAATTACGAGATACCTACAGAACTGGAAGGACAAAAGATGTGGAATTTAGAAGAGAGCAGCTGAGGAACCTCCTCAGACTTATGGATGAGAATGAAGAGGAAATTTTGGAAGCTGTTCACAAGGACTTGCACAAGGTTGGACTCTTCAAACTTCACTATTTGATTTTGAATTTAGGTTCCTTGCATTAAATTAAGGGCCTTAGATCAATTGCATTATTAGAGCTGCATGTTTTTGAGGAGGAAATGAATGGGAAAAAATTTGTCTTTTTTTGAGATTTCATTTTGCTGGTACCTGGTAGCCTCTGGTGGTCCTGGGTTCAAACCCTCAACCCAGCTGCTCCCTGGATTTGTTCTTGGTTTCCCGGAGTTTCACTCCTGCGCTGCACTTGGTATATAGCCAACTGGTCTGCTTCTAGCTTGTGGGGATGTTTGTTTACAGTGTTTGTTTTGGCTTTGCTTTTATTGGCCCTGAACAGCCCCATTGGGGTAGTGTTCAGTTGAAGTTATTATCAATATTGTAATTGTTCCAACTTATTACCAAGTACTGTGGTAATTTATTTTTTTTTATTTTGTGTTTGTTAGCCAAGAACAGAGGCTACCCTTGCAGAGATTTTGGTGGTGAAGAATGACATTGCTTATGGTAAGTTATCAACTAACAGAGCTACTGGTGGATCAAATTGAAAGGGCATCATAATGAATTAGTTCATAGATCAAAAGACATGTCATTGTACTTTTTGAAGTATACAGTTACTGTTAGTAGTGGATTGCAGAGTTGCTGCAAAGTTTTAGAAGACTTGTATTTTGAAGTTTGCTTGTATGTTTCGATCATGGATCCTGAGTTCCAGTTATTATGCCCTATATGTGTATCTTTTGATTGTTCTAGCTTACAACCTTTTACATTGTTGGATAATGTAGGAATTGTTGGGTACCTCATATTGTGGACAATTAGGAAGGTTTTTATTGCTCTGTAAAACTTGACTGTTGTGCAGTTCCTGATTTTCCCATATTTGACATATGATAGTCTTTTAGATGCTCTTGGCTTTATTCAAGATGTGATTTCAGACAGGAATATTTTTTAGGCTGTAGGTGGCTTTTATTACCCTGAGTGCTACTGTCCCAACAATAAATGATGGAAAATTTACTTCACTCAGTTGTCAAACTTTGCAGTAATAGTTAAATTAAAGTGTTTTCTTGGCATTGTTTTTAGTGGTTACATTAATATACAATCATGTACCTGTATCTATGAACATGATTTTTCTCCCATTGATAAGCTGTGACTGATTCTTTCAGCATTGAATCACTTATCAGAGTGGACTAAACCAGAACCACTTGACGTTCCTTTAGTGAACAAAATGGATTCTTGTTTTACTGTTAGTGAGCCATTGGGGCTGGCATTAGTCATTGGAGCTTGGAATTACCCAATACAGCTCACTATCATGCCCCTCATTGGAGCCATTGCTGCTGGTGAGGCTTAGCATGCTTATTTGATATAGGGCTGCAATGTTTGTTCAATTTTGGTGTGATTTAATGGGGTATACACTCGTTTATGCAGTGGGCCTGTGGTTAGGGTACCCAAGTTTGGGTCTTGAGTTGTGTGTTTGAAGCTGGAATGGGTCATTTTTGTTGTGTTCTTGGGCAAGAGACTTTGCCCTTACAATGCTTCCCTGCAGCTTGGATTTGTGTGATAAGTGGGTAGCAGTCAACTGCTTGGGAAGCCACAAAAATACTGGGGTTAATCTGCAGTATATTAGCATCCTATCTAGAGAAAAAAATTAATAGCAATGATCCTTGTGGCTTCTTTTCATGGAAACCTGGATGAGCTATTGAGATCCTCAAAGATTTTGTTAAAGATGTTTTCAAGATGCTTATTAGGGTCCTCAAGAGTCCTGATGAAGATCTTTTGGGATCCTGGAGGACCCTTCAACAATTTTTACCAGGGCAGAATGTTTTTCAAATGTGCAGTAGATATTCTCTTGAGTTGTCATACTGTTTGTCAGTGTCAGACCACCAATGGTATTCTAGAGTATTTTAAGGGTTATTACCTATTGATTTAATAGCTTAGAGTCAACTACTTGACTAATGCGTGTTCATGGAAATATCCTTTAATAGGAAACTGTGCAGTCATCAAACCATCTGAAATTGCAGAAGCATCAGCAGAGCTTGTTGGAAAACTTATTCCACAATACCTAGACCAGGTATAGTGTACTTTGCTCCAAAATATTCATGACTTTTCTTTAACTGCTTTCGGAAAATGGAATCTATTTACAATCCTTCTGAGGCTTCTGTCAAGGCTAACACAATGGAGAAGGAGACAAGGGATTTTAACTGGTCAGAATTGAGGCTGTTAGGGTCTATATATGATGACAGTTAAGAGTAGACTTTAAAAGGGCTAGAGCCCTGTCCACCCAAAAAACTCCTATTCAAAATTGTGCAACTGTGTCATGATAACTAGTCTCTTAAATTTATATTTTTGGACATGTGATTACATTACTAGTGCAAATCAATGTAA